GAGATTCAAATGAGATCACGTAAACAAAGCACCCAGTACAAAGTCGGCATTCCAGCCGTCCCTGTCACTCTGTGAGCTGGGTTCTGGGCAGGGCCCAGCCCTAGCAGCAGTGCAGGGAATGAGGGAGGCGGACGGCGGAGAGGATGGAAACAGGCAGCAGCTCGGCTCTGGGCGTCTGGGCCGCTGCGCTGGGCCGTATTAGGAAGGAGGAAATACGTCTCAGTCATCTTTGTATGCCCGGAACGAAGCACAGCGCCTGGCATAGAGCAGGATCATAGCAGATACTTAAAAATGGAGATTGCAGTTACAATTGACATCTGCTAAGATTTTCTAGACCATCTAAGAATCATCTACTTGAGAGAGAGACGAATGCCACAGAGTGGAAAGAATACAAGGCTTGAAGTCAAAAGATGCAGACTGAGTTTTGGTTCTGTCACTGTGTGTCTGTATGACCCCAAGCAAGTCTCTTAATCTCTGTGGGCCTCAACTTCTTCGTCTGTAAAAGGGGCTATTAATACTTCGTCTGCCTGCCCCGTAAAGATGTGGTCCAGTTCAGAAGGTTCTGCCAGCACTAGAAGCCCTAGAGCAAGCTTGCAGGAGCCCTGTCCGTGGTGCAGGTAGCCCCATGGCCAAAAGGGACATCTACCTGGGGCGGCCCGGGAGAGCAGCTGGAGTGGGGACCCAGATGCGTTTCGCTGCTCAGGGCAGCCACAGGCATGGCGAGGAAAAGCGCTGCCAAGCGTTCGGTTTGAAGGGCAAGGCGAGGAGAGACAGGATTGTCAGCAGGAAAGAACACAATGGGAAGAAGGAGGCAAGGAAAGCACTTCAGAACTAAGGCCACACGGTCCCTCCTCCAAGGTTCTCGGCGATAAACTCAATAGTAACATTTATTGAGCGCTTACTATCTGCCAGGCGCTATTCTAGGTGTTTGCATGGTTATTTTCCTTAGTCTGCACAATAACCCTGGGTGGGTGCTACTGTTACCCCCTCTTCACAGATTGGGAAACTGAGGCACAAAGTCACAAGAGATTTTAACTCATGGCTCCAGTTCTTAACCAGCAGAGTTACTGTTGCTCCACAAAGCAGGGTGGTTATGATGACCGAAAGAGAGAAGAGAACAGATTGAAAGGCATCTTGTGAATCGTGAAGTGCTAAGTAGATGGGGCATGGTGTCACACCCAAAGTATTCACCTAACTTCTCCTGGCCTCCAGGTTGACTCTCCAAGGCAGGGGTGTTGGATGATGGGGGTGAAGAAGAACCACCTCTCCTCCTGAGCCTGGCCCTGGAGAGTGGACTCTCTCCTGGGAGGTCTTCAGGGCCGTAAAGGAAGGTGGCTGCACAGGTTCTGGCGGCCAGCTTCCTCTCCCCAGCTCCCTGGACTCCAGGTCCCACACGCTCCTGAGGAATCAGTGTCTGCTAGCGGCTTCCTAGATCAAGTTTCAGAGCAGGAAGTCCCCCTGGAATTCTCCCATTCCCAAGCGAGTGGCCAGGTGTGGCTAGAGACAGACTGGCGATCCTGAGGGCCCCACCCAGGAGGTGGCAGGAATGTGCAGTGGGCTTCTCTGCACAGGCACGGCGACCTTCTGCAGCCCACGAGGGGGAGGTCTCAGGCTGACCCCACCAAGACTGAAGTGAAGACAGAGGAACGATGTGTGGGTAGGAGTTTCTAGGGAGCCAAGCAGAGCAGAAGGGAAATGCAGGACTCAGTCGGGGGGTGGGGGGCGGGGGGGACAGAGGCAGTGAGGACTGGCTGGGGCTGGGGGAGGGCGGGAAGGAAAGCAACTAAGAGGAGATCCCCAGAGCAGGTGGAGGGCTGCAATGAAAGCAAAGGGCCCATAGCACCCGGGGGAGCGAAGCCTGTGACGAGGGCTTTCAGAGAGGAGGACTGTAGTGTCTGAGCAAGCATTAGCTCCCAGAGGTGGACTTAGAGTCGGGCTGCTGAGGAGGAGGAAAGCTTAAGCAGCTTTTGAAGGGTGCTCCAGAAACTACAGGGAAGACTTTTTAAGGTTCTCTACAAAGGATTTTAAGGTATTGAAATGGGTGGAGGGAGGGAGAAAAACTCTAAGACCCAGGGGTTTCTTGGGGAGTGAGGGACACCACCAGGGAGAAAGGGGACGGCATATGCAATGGCTCGGACTTCCCAAGGAGAGAAGCCATCTTGTGACCAGGGCAGAGCAGTGGTCAGAAGGAGACAATGGAAGCCAGGAGAGACGAATGGCTTCTCCTGGATCCTCCAGGAGTGGGAGGGGAGCAACCCCTACGGCAGACCCCATGGAGAGCCAGGGCTCAGAGGAGGTGGAAGGTGGTGTCTTACTTATTCCATGGCAGCAGGACATGGCAGGGCCTATCCTCTGGACACAGCCGCTGGGGCGCTGAGGGGGCACTCAGTGGCGGGAATGGATGGACTCAGCTGCAGGCCACAGGAGAAGGTCCAGCTGGATAGATGGCAAGTCAGCCACAAAACATTGTGAGGCAGCAGGCTTGGTTCAAGAAAAATCGATGACAGTTACTGGGCGGATGGAGCACAGCTAGGGGACTCGAGGAAGAACAGCAGATAAAGGGGGTTCATCAGGGAGGGCAAGTGCAGTCTCGGGGCTCCCCGCCCCAGGCTGAGGGTCAGAAGCCACACTTCAGACCCTGCGAAGACTGGTCAGAGTAGAGCAGGGCCCAGTGTTACAGGAACAGGGCAGGCTGGCAAGTGAGGGGAGGACCTGATCACAAATGAAATCAACAGTCTGGTTATCAGACCTGTGCTCCAGGTGAGCTGAGACTGATGGATCCCATCATCCTGATGAATGGATGGAACTGATGGATCAGTTGACTGAGCTCACTGGGGCCTGACAGCTGGCCCCAGGCCACAATCTGAGAATTCCTGGGGCCCTTACTGAGGACAGACAGGAAGCACTCCGGATGTCTGATGGAAGTCCTTCCAACCCAGCCCACGTTATCAGGCTCAACCAACTAATAAAACGTGCCAGTGAAGAAACAGATCCGAGATCTCTGCTCTTGAACCAACGGAGACCTGAAGGGAGAAGGCCAATATTTATGAAGATACATGGACACGTCACTGCCTCTCTGCTGCTTTTCAAGAGCCCGAGGAACCATGAGCTCTCACCAGCTGGTCCTTCCAAAGGGCACTTTTGGGGTGACGATGACTGAATGGTGATGCAGACGCCCCTGGTTCAGGTTTTGCAGGGAATTCTCATCGCACTTACAAGCCGCTAGAACAGAGTTCCTCCTAGAGACACACAAGAGTTAAGGAAACCTACACGGTGCCACAGAGAAAACTGGAAACCATCCGACTCGGGTATAGAGCCCCTTCGTTTCCTGTTGGCCCTGGGGGCTTCACTCAGACCTTACTCCTGCCTCCCAGACCCACAGCACAGAATGCAGCAGTCCACTCCTCCATCCACCCCCTCCCCCTGGACCTTCAGGGAAGCAGGACCTGTGAGTCAGGGAAGGGCGGTGAGGAAGAAGACTCCCTCATCACCGTCTCTCCTCCATCCCCCAGCACCAAGAGGCAGAGGGAGAAGGGACCACAGCACAGAGACAGAGTCATTTCTGCAGTCCCCCATTCACTTCTCTCTGCCCTCAAGTCCAGGGCCACCACAAGCCCTGCCAGCCCACGCGTCCTCTCTGCAGTTCTCTGACCAAGGCACTCTGAGGGCCCGGAGTAGCATGAGGCTGCAGTGCACCCTTTGGGAGGTGGGAGGGCGGCAAGTTCTCGACATTCTGAGTTGGAATTTTGAATGCATCAGTGCCTGGGAGACAGGCAGTTCTTCATAGGTGGCATCCTGCCTATATTCAAAGGGTTAACATAGACTGTTGTGGACCGTACAGAGATGTGATAGACCCCCTGTACAAAACCAATCCCAAGAAAACGTGTGCCTCCATTCCTTAATTCAAAAGAATTTACTGAGCACCAACTACATGCTAGGCAGAGGCCTTGCCCTTAAGGAGCTAAGCAGACTGGAGGCAAGTACATAAACAGGTAAAAACCCCATAGAACGGGGGCTGTGAAGCCAGACAAATCAGAGTGGGGACTTCTTAGAATTTCAGCATCTCCGTAAATCGGGACAGCCTAGGTAACACAGAAATACTACACCCATGCGTTTGTTTCTGAAAATAAGACGAGACTAGGTCATGAGAAAACTGAAGGGCATTAGAGAACAACCTAAACACGATCAGCCTTTATTCAAGAAGAACAAAAATCCTAGAGGTCTGGGGCAGTTGCAAGGCTACAAACAGGAAAATTCATTTTGTAAGGATTCAATTTCCATTTTTATTTTTTTTTTCAATTTCCATTTTCAAATGAAAGTTCTTACTTCCTGCAGTTTATTTTTGCATCTTTGGAGAATGCTCTGGCCACAGAGGTTCACCCGGGCCAGGGCCATAAGCAGACACGGGACACGGAGGCAGGTGTAACCTCACTCACGAGTCAGAGACGGGAGACCCACCTAGGGGGAGAAGCAGGAGAGACTGGAAACATCCTGACTCTAAGCACAGGAGCCTGGACTTGACCCCTTCAGTGGACAGGAAGTGCTTAGGAAAGGGACTGCTCCCGAGGACAGCGTCTAGGACATGCTGAGCGGGGACAACAAGAGGCAGGAGAATGCACTTGAGTGAACTCTCAAAATAGCGCCAATTATCCTTACGGGGATAAGTGAATCCATGACCACGGAACTGCTGAATACAGGCTTGTTATCTCCCCTCTCTGTGCCCCATTTTATACATCTATAAAATGGGGATAACAATGGTATCCACCTCACCCAGATGATACAAGGAGTGACTAAACTAATACATGGAAAGCACTTAGAGCAGGCCTGACCCACGGTATGTGCTCGGTAAATGTCAGCGTTACTATCATCTCCTTCTCTCTGGGGGGAAGGGGTGGCAAAGAATGCACTAATACAGGTATTCTCAGTGGTTTCTGTAAATCACATTCACTCTGCCTGCGGGGAAAAAAATGGAGATGTAAATTATCAAACAGACATATACGTACTTTAAATACTGAGTTTATTTTAAAAATCAGCACAGTAAAAACTGCCACAGAAATTACTTGAAGCTACCAACAACAGACGCTCCTATCAGTTCAAGAGTACACATGCAGCTCCTCAAATTAAAGACCTTTCATTTCCCTTGAAGTCTTTCTCATTCTGAGGTTATATAAAATTAAGCAGGAAAACATTAACATTAAACAAAAATCAATTTTGCACAAATAAGTGTGATCAAGCAGCTTAAATTATCACCTGAAATACTTATACTTCAGAGAAAAATCCCAGATGACAACACTGTGTTATAAAAAGATTCACATTATTCCATGGGGTATGTCACATGTCACTCGGTTCTTCACATTTCCTTCACCAAGGCTCCAGCAAAAAATTGAGGGAAATTTTTTCCAAGCAGTGGCCTTCTTTTTACGCACATTCCTTCTCTTCTTCTGAATTCAGAGTTTCTGAAGACACAGAGGCTTTTCTCTTGAGAAAATATGACTTATAAGACATTTGAGGACCAAGCTATTATGGTTCTTAAATTTCTTCCTTTCTCTGGGGAGACCCAGGGGTCTTCACGCCATCCAGATCTGGTCTCTCCTCCCACACAAGGTTCCTTTGTGGTATGGAAACATAGAAACTTCTAACCTCACCAGAGATGGAAGCGAGCTCTGTACCTTCAATAAGGCACCAGAGAAGGCCTGGCCCTCTCCTGGTGTCCTCAAACTTCCTCGAAATTCAGAGAAAGTTTTGTACATCAGAACACGTCAACCCACAGCTAAAAGACTTTGAGGAACTAAAAATGTGAAAACCACCCAGGAATTGAGCATGAGAGAAACAAGTGTTTATTGTCTGCACTGATAATGGGTGGGTTCCTCTTTTTAATGAGCCGCAACAGAGCAGAGGTTTGGCAGCATAACCAACCTCTGTGCTCACATGAATCTGCAACCCAGTAGGGACAGGCGTCCTGACAGGAAACCGCCAAAGGTGGAAACATGAGCCAGCTGATGGGACCAGAGTAACCGACGCCGCCTGTGGGTTCAACAGCAACTTGAAGTCCTGTGTGAAACATACGTATTTATTACCTTTTACAACATTCTCATCACCAAACAGAGCCAGTGGAATGAACATAATATTTCAATAGGAAAATTATACATTCAGAAAATATTATATTATCCATTATCAATTCACGATTCCTGGGCACTGATAAATATAACACATTCCATCATAAACTACCAGAACCACTGCTATGACAATGAGAAAATGCAAAGTGAGGATGACGTTACTGCATTCCCTTCCTTGCAGTGAAGAAAGGAAGAAGCAGCACCTTCTGGGCCTGGATGGACAGCAGAGGATCAAGACGCCCTGCGGGCTGAAACAAAGGTGGTGCCGCGCCTTCTCCAGTGTGACAGGAGGGCCCTCGCCGTGGAGAGCCTTTATGTAGCAGCCTCTAAGAATTCTGAGGTGAACACAGCTTCTGCATAATCTTCACACACATCCTGAAGTTCAGCAGCCACGTCCCCCAGAGCTTCATCTACCAGCTCTTCTGAAAAGCTGGAAGACAAACAGCACAGCTAAAGGCACGCACAGCCAATCAGGGGAGCCATTCTTTTACTCAGCTGGGGCACTTAAGTCAATTCTAAGATTTAAACGGAAACTCATAAGGCCAAGAATAGCCAATAGCCTGAAGAAGAAAAACAAGGTGAGAAGCCTGGCTCTCCAAGAAGTTAAGATGGTGATGATTAGATCCCAAACTCCTGCTAGAGGGAGGGGCCTGTAGTATACACAGGATGGACCTCACACTTGAGATGGCTGAAACCAGAGGTCAGTGGAAACTACGTAGCTGCCACCCAGCCCCAATCCAGATCCACCTTTGACAGCTGCCTAACTGCCCGACAGAGGAGAGGCTGTGTGTCTTCTCTATGGGACAGGGAGCAGGATACATTCAAAAGTCACTTAGACAAGTTCCTACCTGTCCCTGCTCCCTTTAGTATGATTGTGCTATTACTGGAAATACAGTTCATTCTCCCTCTCCTACCCCTTCTACTCCATTCCCATCCCAGCTGGTCTTGTTTTGTTTTTGCTAATCTGACAATCTTTTGCTTTTAATTGGCATGTATAGTCCTTTTTCATTTAATGTAATTCTGATATAATTGAGCTTCTACTACTAAAATACCAAGTATTTTCTATTTGTCTATTTCTTCTTTCTTACTTTCCTTTAGATTTTTGTTTTTATTACCTTCTTTCCTCTCTATTAACTTGGATGTCATATACTCTTTTACTATTCTTGTAGTGACCACCCTAGATTACAATAAGCACCCTTGACTTACATTAATTGATATTCTTACCATTTTCCTAGATAATTCAAGAATCTTAGAACACTAACTTCATTTACCCTCTTCCTGACTTATGTGCTATTGTTATCATGTGTTTTAAATGTACACACCCCATAAGACATCAGTTTATTGTTTTATATAGTCAATATTCATTTACCTACATACTGACCTTTTTTAAAATTCATGCCCTCCTATATTTTCAACCTTTCACCTGCCTGAAAAATACCCCTTCAATATCTCCTATAGGGAAGGTCTACTGGGAAGAAATTTGCTCAGCTTTGTTTGTTTGGAACCTTTTACCTTCCTTCTTGAAATATATTTCCCTGTGCTTAGAATTCCCGATTGGCAGTTCTTTTCTTTCAGGACTTTAAAAGATGTGCAAAGTCTTCCAGCTTCCATTGTTTCTGTTTCTCTTTTTTCCTTTCTCCAGCTGATTTTAAGATTTTTCTCTTTGTCCTTGATTTTTCAACAACACTGTGATATGCCTACGCATATTCTTTCTATTTTTCTTGCTTGGGGCTTTTATTTTTTTATTTTTAATTATTTTTGTGAGGAAGATCAGCCCTGAGCTAACATCCATGCTAATCCTCCTCTTTTTTTTTTTGCTGAGGAAGACCGGCTCTGAGCTAACATCTATTGCCAATCCTCCTCCTTCCCCCCTCCGCCCCAAAGCCCCAGTAGATAGTTGTATGTCATAGTTGCACATCCTTCTAGTTGCTGTATGTGGGACGCGGCCTGAGCATGGCTGGAGAAGCGGTGCGTCGGTGAGCGCCCGGGATCCGAACCCGGGCTGCCAGTAGCGGAGCACGAGCACTTAACCGCTAAGCCAGGGAGCCGACCCTGCTTGGGGCTTTTAGAGCTTCTTGAATCTATGGCTTGATGCCTTTTGTTATTTTGGGGAAGTTATCAGCCATTCTCTCTTCAGATGTCATGTCTGACCCATCCTCTCTCTCTCCTCTCTTTCTGAGACTAGAGCCACATATATAATAGACCTTGTCACTTTATCCCAATGTTCCTTATCCTCTCTTCTTCATTTTCATCTTTTTTGTGTCTTCATGCATTACTCTGGATATTTTCTTCTGTCCTATATCCCAAGTCTCTAATTTTTTCTTTTGATGTATCTAACTTGCTGTTAAGCCCATCCAATGAATCCCTCATCTCAGAAACTGTATTTTTCAGTGCTAGAATGTGCACTTGGATTTAGTTTAGTTCCTACTTCCCTGCCAACATTTTAAATTGTGTCTTTCATCTCTATGAACACAGCAGGCACGGTTATTTTAATGTCTGTGTCTGAGAGCTCTAATATTTGTCGGAGCTGCTGTGGGTCTGTTCTTGTTATGGTCACGTCTCTCTGTTGCCTGGTTACTTTTCACCATATACTAGACACTGTATTTGAAAATTGTAGAAATAATTTAAGTCCTAAGATGATGTTATACTCCTCCAGAGAAAATTTATGTTTGCTTGTGCCTGGTGCCCTGGGGGGCAATAATCTAGAATCACCTCAATCCAGTCTCAAGAACTGAGCTAATGTGGAGCTGAGTGGAGACCCTGAGAGGACCCCCTGGCAGCCAGGTCACCGCTCCTTCCAGAGTGCCACCCTTCAAGGTCCCAATTAAAAGAGAGGGAAGTTCACCAGGACAACTTCCCCACCATGCAAGCCCTGGATTCCGACCTCTGTCCTCTGATCTGAAAAGACTGTCAAAAGTGCCACTCATCTCCCTCCAAAACTGACAATCCAGTGCCAAACAATGGGCTAACCTCACCTGGTCTCTGTCTTCTCCAGGATCGTGGCCTAGTTATTCTTCATTACCTAGTTAACTTCCCGATGCCTTCAAGCATATGTGTTTTATTTTTAATCTAGGTTTTCTATTAACAGTTATCCTCAGTGGGAGAGGTGGTCCCAATTACCAAGTGCATCACTACCAGAAGCAAAAGTGATTACCTTGTTTTATATTTGCTTTGCTTTCTATATTCCTACCACGAATTCACCCCCGAACTATGAGAGATCACAAAGGTGCTCCCAATACATTCAAACAATATTAGGTAATGCATCTGTTTTCTTCTTCTTCTTTTTAATCTCCCCCCCCCCTTCCCCCTCTGGGAACACTCCTCCTGGAGTCCTCTGTCCTCCTACTCCAATCTGGACTGGCTGCTTCCCATGCTCACTGAGCAAGTCCTCTTGTGGAAATAGCTTTTGCCGTTTTTCTGGACGTTCCATGTTGGAGTCCAGGTTTCCTAACTCCTGTCTTCCTCCTTCTCAATGAGCACCTTGTCCTGATGGCACACATATCCCTCCAGTAGCCTCCTGAGAAAAAGTACATGGGAACTAAATTTTTGGACACTTTGCATACCTAAAAATGTCTTTATTCTACCTTTAGATTTAATCAATAACTTAAGTGAGTGCAGAATTCTAGGTTAAATTTTGGAAGTATGCCCTAATATCTTCTAGCAGTGTTGCTATTGAAAACAATACCCAATACTCATTTCCGATTATCTGAATGTATCCAGTTTTAACTCTCTGGAACCTTTTGTCATCTTCTCCTTATACTGGTATGCTCAAATTTCCTTTTCATAATGATGTGTCATGGTGCGCCCTATTCTATTTATTTATTCATTTATTTATTCTCTCACTCACTCGCAGTGGACAACTGATGAACTCTTTTTCAATCTACAGCCTAACAGCTTTCTGGGCAATTTCCTTACAATATTTCTTTGATAATCTCCCATTCCTCCTTTTTCCCTGTTCTCACATTCTAGAACTCCTATTATTCAGATGTTGGATGCTATGGACTGAAAATCTGTGTCCCCTTCCACCCAAATTCATCTGTTGAAGTCTAATCCCCAATGTGATGACATTTAGAGGTGGGGCTCTAGGGAGGTAATTACATCATAAGGATGGTGCCCTCATGAATGGGATTAGTCCCCTTATAAAAGAGACACAAGAGAGACGATCTCTCTCAGCCACATGAGGACACAAGAAGAAGACAGCTGTCTGCAAACCAGGAAGCGTGCCCTCACCAAATGCTGATATGCCAGAGCCTTGATCGTGGACTTGCCAGGTTCCAGAACCATGAGAAGTAAATTTCTGTTGTTTAAGCCGCTCAGCCTATGGTATTTGTTATGGCAGCCTGAGCTGAGTAAGACATTGGATCTCCTAGAAAAATCCTCCAATTTTTAAAATCTTTTCTTCTCTATTATCTATCTCCTTATCTTTTTTTTATTCTACTTCCTGAGAGATTTGACTTTTTGCTTTGACTCTCTCTAGTGAATTTATTTTGACCATCATATTTTTAATTTCTAAGAACTTTTGTTTCACTCTTTGAAAGTTTCTTTTTTATAGTACCCTGTTCTTGTTTCATGGTGTAATAGCTTCACTTATTTCCCTGAGAATATTAATTCTAGTTTGTTTTTCATGTTTTATTCTGCTTCCTGCATCATCTCTGCTTCCTCACGGTTCTTTTTATCTGCTGTAAGAGGCTATATATCTTTCATGGTTTTCATCACGTTGGTCATCTAAGCGATCTGCTATATTCAAGAATGAGAATTTCAAATAAGCCATCTTTTTTGGACTCACCTGCACCCACACTTCACAAGCAGCTGGTGCTTCTCATTCCTGAACAAATCAATAAGGTTCTTGGCTTCACCCTCATCAGGCACTTGGCTCTCTCTGGTCTGCTAAGTCATTTGCCATTTGTCTAACTGCTTTATGGCTCTAAAATTTTATTGCTATTTCTTGTTAGCCATCATTGATGGTTTCTTACGTATTCATTTAGGGACACATAGCGTGACAGGAATACAGGGAATAAAGATACATACATATGTTCAATCTGTCCTTTTCAACCCGAAGTCTCCTGATTCGTTTTTCAAACCAGGAATCCTTAAGAGTTTGCTTTCATCAAAAGCATTATCACCTTAAGCCTTTCTTTTCACAATCACTCTCATATTTATATCCAGTTAATATCAACTGCTCCCTCTGATCACTGGAACAGTGCTTTTCTTCAGGTGTAAGGAGGAATGGAGAAAGTCAAAGAAAAAGAAAAACTCAGCTAACTTCTCCCTCATCCAAGAGGCTATGAGATGAAGTCAACTGTCTCTGGATCCTTCTTCAAGATCTTATCAATACAATTCTCATCTTTGGAACACTCAAATAAGAAACACAAACAGAGCTAGCATCTTCAGATGCACTGTCACCTGGGGGTCAAAGGATAGCAGAAGAGGAGAACATCTGTAAAAATCTAGGCATATTTTAATAGCCCTGTCCTCTATATTTTAACCTAATATTTCTTATCAGCTGAGAGAGCTTTTCCTTACGTCTACAAAACAACTATGAAAAACATGTATCATTTTATCAAGTGGTAAGAATATATAAGGAACAGTCTATCTTCCTTGGCTTGTTGTGGGATTTCCCAATAGGCCAGTCAGCCTAACCAATCCAGAAAGGTTATGGGAAACCAGTGAGCATGTTACAGGACTGTGTTAACACATGGAAGCCAGTCGAGTTTTTCTCTTCCCCCAGAAAATAAATGTGCATCTCAACCAGAACAAAGGGTCTCATGCTTTGGAAGGCGCTATACATTAAAGAGAAGTCTCAGGACTTCAAGTTAAACCTGAGAGATTGAACATATGTGATTATCTCTGATCCCACCCAAAACTCCACTAAAATAAAAGAAAAGAAAGGAATACATAAATCCATAAGGAGAAAAAGAAAGACAAAGTAGATGAGAAATGTCCAAAATTTTCAGAAGATAAAAAGCATGTGTAAGAATCATAACTGATTCAGCAGGATAGAGGAAGCTGAAACCTAAGGGTCTGCAGAGGGCGATGCCCAGGAAAAGCAAGCTGATTTGTCTCACGAAACATTAGAAAGACTCAGGAAGTAAGAGCACTGAGAATCACGAGGGTGGAGTGAGGGGTGGGGCAGAAAATGAGGACACTGCTTGAAAATCTGCAGAAAGAGCAGTGAGATTGATAGGTCTCCGCCCCTGCTCCTGGCAGCGAGGTGACAATCCCTCCTTCACCCCGACAAAAGAAGGAAGGTATACTCTTTGCAAAAAATAAACCAGTAATTTTAAACCCAGCCAAATCATCAGTCAAGTATGAAGACAGAATAAAGACACTTTCAAACATGTAAGTCTCAAGAAATTTCTTCCAATATGCAATGGAAGATATGCTCCAACAAAATAAGAGAGTAAACCAAGGAAGAGGAAGACAAGGCCACCAGAACATAAAGACTCTCCGCTGGGAGGGAGGCAACCTGACACTCGGGCGCTGAGGAAGGCAAGTCCCAGGACAGCAGCCACGCAGCAGATCCAGAGAGCAGCATGCGGACTGGGGTAGGAGGAAGGGTGGGGGTGGAGGCGAGAAACAGAGACTAAGTGATACACCTGATCAGGAGGAAAATGACGTTGAGAGGTGTTGACTGGAGTGTGGAGAAAGTGAATACATATATAAAAGAATAAGCAAATTAAAAAGAGGCAATTATTAACTCCTGGAATATGTTTGAGACTTGTTCAAAAAATGATCTGTAATAGTATCCTGCTTGATTCAATGATGAAAGAAAACTATCTGCAAACATGTAATAAAGTGATACCCATGAAGAATTTACATTTAGGCCCTATTTGAAAAGAATGGATTTATACATGTCTTTCAATTAACTATTTACATAAAAGAAGGCTATCCATTCTTCAAATATTTAGTAGCAGTAGGACTCTGTTTTATAATTCCATACAACTACCTTTCTCAGGGGAGGTGACTCTCAGAAGGGTTAAAGAAAAGGTGGCAAAGTCTGAAAGCCTGCTGCTCCTAAGTGCAAGTCCGTCTCAGCCATGAAGACTTCACCATCACAACTGTGTCCTGCCCAGTAGTATTTTGTGTTCTCTGATGGACATTAACATTAACCGCAACAGGAAATCCTCCCTTGAATACCATGCCTCTGCCTAAGAAGACAGAGCTGCAGAACACTCCTTCGGGTGGCATCACCCGTGTTGTTGTATGGTCTGCTCTATCTGAAAAAAGGCAGTTAGCAGAGAAAGCCTGGCCAACAGCCCAAGCAACCACTGGCACTCCAGGGCCCGAAGGCAGAGCATGAGACCTTGGCTAGTACTTCCTCCAGCCCTTCTGTCAGGTACCGTTTGGTTCTTGGTTCCTAAACAGAGCCACACAGCATTTTACTGACCTTTCAGCAAGCAGCCATGGGTTGAAGGAGCCCACGGCCTCATGAGATATCATCCGGAGGTACTGCTCAAAGCGGCTGCAGTAGTCCCCAATACTGTGCCGCATCCTGGCGGGGACAAAGAGGGCAGCTCGACCCTCTTTCTGTTGAGAATCTTCTGAAAGGGAGAGAAGGGGAGCCTCTTTTTTCTCCGATTTCTCCTCTGATCCCACACTTTCATCCAGGGAGCTGAGAGCAAATAAAAATGAAAGCATTCAAAATCATCTGTGAGCAAGGGTAAAGTGTTCACTCACCCTGATGGTGTGACAAGCAAAGGCTTATCTTCATTTCTTTTTCTCACACTAAACAGAACCAACATCTATCATCACTCACTGTTTCCCCCTTTCAGTGGACTAAGCCTCCACAAGGCAGGAATTCCTGTCCCATAGACAAAAGAGCTCTTAAAGCAAATATTGCAGTAATTATCAGCACAACCACATGTGCCAGTGTGAGGCTTTCAACAGTAAAAACCAGGTAAATGTTATGGAAGCCTCCTTAAGATGCAACATGTTCCACGCCCATCTTATAAGCATGTTATTTTACTGAGCCATCTTGGAGTTTGGCAAGATCTTGCTCAAAAGAAGAATTTCTCTCTGTTTTGCGGGAACTGAAGGAATTCAAAATTTACCAACATCAAAAGCAACCAACGACAATGAAAGCAGACAGTCTCGTTCTGACTTACTTGGCATTCCAGGGCCTTTCCAACACGATGTTCACGTCTGGGGCTTTGTGAGCCGCTGTCTTTGTGATCCTGATTGGATGAGGAGAAAGAGGCCTTTCACTTACTGCTGGGATTTTTTGGTCTAGAAAAGGAGAGACATAAAATGATTGCATTTGAAGAAAAGTCCATGTATATATCAGAGCTGTCCCATGGCCAATAACCTGAGAGGAAGTCACACACACGTCTCACAAGCATAACAGGCTTAGCTGCCGTGCAAGGGAAAAAAACGCGCGTTTTAAATGAAAACGGGAATTTAAAAATTACAAAGAAACAACCCAGAGGAATCAGTTTTAAGAAATAACAAACTCTTTTGAAGCCTCTGCTGGCTCTGAGGAAGACTCCTTGAAGAGGTCTGTGCAAGGCACCAGGCTACAGAGGTTCCATTAGGACCCAGCCACCCATTCAAGGAGTCTTAAGCAGTTGAGTTTGTTTTTTAACCTTTCAACGGCTTGATTACTGAAGAAGGAAAAAACCACACAAACCTGAACACATAATTAGCTGACTTAACTTGTCTCTGGGCATTGCTGGAAAAAATCTGCAGGATGATAGTCAAAACATTAACTTATCAACTATACCTCGCAGGCTTGACAGCTCCTTTGAGTTTTGGATTATTTATAATTTTAAACGTATTTCAAGGGTAGGAAGAAAATCTGTCCTTCTCTTAGGTAAGGAGCATCTATAAGTCAAACAACTTTCTCTGACTCATGTTTATATGCTTACGATTTCGTACTGTCAAAGAGAAATACTGTGTAAGTCAGTCTTTGTAAAAATATTACTAAGAGTACAATCAGTTTTCAATCATTCACAGAGAGAGGATACAGAGATACAGATCAGACAAGGCACAATTCAAAAATCACTTTAAATTTGGTTTTCTGATGCAATTGAACATACAATCAGAACAAATGGAAACATAGGGTTCCTACTATAATTTCATTATTCTGGAATTAAAATGTTCAAAAATTCATTTCAGTTCTCCATATTCTAAAGAGCTCCATTTCAATGTACACCTAGACTCTATGCAAAGTCATAGATAGTGACTAATAATTTAAATTGCCCTTGAAAAAAGAGAACTCTGAGTCCTGGGTAAGGCTGTCTTCTGCATGATGCCACCTAACTTTGTGACCAATGGCCAAACCATCAACGAAACGAGCTGCCCTTCAACTTTCCCTTTCCTCTGCTTCCATATAAAAAGATGCTGAAATGCCCACGGTTCACTAAGCAACGGTGAGAAGCAACCCTGTGCCAGGCTTGTACAAGGAGCAGTGGGGGACACAACTGACCACGATAAACTCTCTGGCCTCAAAGACTCTGTGGCTTAGCTGGGAGACATAAGACCCCTCCACGAACAGCTCTGCCACATGGGGGGACGTGCCAGAAGTCTACGAGAGTTCATGGGCAGGAAGGCAGCAAAATTCCAGGATAGGAATACCAGGAAAAGCGCAAGTAGGATCATGTAAGCAGGCCGGGAAGAATGCTTTGACAGTTATGTGAGGATGGAAATGGAAGCTGGAGCGGGGCTGGAGGGAAGAGAGAACAACACGAGCAAAGAATAGCATGCTTGAAAATCACATAAAACATAGAAGGAACAAATCAGTATTGTGTTTAGATGGTTCATCTTTCTGTCAAAGTCTGACATGCAGTTTGTAAGACAAAACCCCCAACTCACATCTTTAGAAAATTATATGTGACATAGGCTGCTGTTGTAAACCTTCTATACCCACAATTTCCTTTATATCCCTTAATACTCATGGTACTCAAATTCCTTCGGAGGTAATGTTTAACCACATTTTACTCTCTCCTTTCACTGAGTAAGGTAGTAACTGATAAGCGTGAACCAAAGAGAATTTGAGTAACACTTCCCAGCCAAAATTGTGATAGTAGCCTAGCAACTGCAGCCAAAAGGAGTATGTATGAATTTTAAGAGTGGAGGAGAAAAGTTGAAAGTCTTTTCAACAACGGGTGTGAGAACAAATGGATAACCATTAGGGGGAAAAAAACAAACCTCAAGCTCTACCTCAAACCATAGGCAAATTTTTATTCAAGATGGATCACAGACCTACATATAAAATCAAAAACCGTAAAGCTTCTAGAAGAAAACAAGAGACTCTCTTCTCAACTTGGGAGTAGGCAAAGGTTTCTTAGATCAAAGAAAGCAAAAACTATGTAAAAAAAAATTGATGTTAGACTTTATCAAAATTAAAAATATCTGCTCATAATAAAACACATTTGAGAAAATAAACAGGTGAGCCACAGATGGGGAAAAAATATTTGCCAACATTTATCTGAGCAGCTTAGTGGCTGCTAGGGGTGAGAGGAAGGAGGATGGCGAGTGACTGCTAATGGATGCAGGGCTTCTTTTTAGGGTGATGAAAATGCGCTGGAATTAGACAGCCGTGACGTTTGCACGACTCTGTCAATATACTAAAACCTACTGAACTGTACACTTTAAAAGGGTGAATTTTATGGTATGTGAATTATATCTCAATAAAGCTGTTATTTCAAAAAAACTCAATATATATATATTTGACAAAGAACTTGTAGCCAGAACGCATAAAGAATTCCCACAACTCAAAAATAAAAACACAACCCACTTAAAAAAAAATGTATAAAACATTTGGACACTTCACAAAAGAAGACATACGAATGGCCAGTAATCACTTGAAAATGTTCTAAACATCATTATTTATCAAAGAAATGAAATTAAAACCACAATGACATATCACTACATGCCCACCAGAATGGTTACAATTAAAAAGACTGACAACATCAAATGCTGGCAAGGATATCAAGCAACAGGAACTCAATGTAGATGGGAATGTAAAGTAGTACAGCCACTTTGGGGAAAGGTTTGGTAGTTTTTTATAAAGTTAAACATACACCTATCCCATGACCTGGCAAGTCTACTCTTAGGTGTTTATCCAAGAGAAATAAAACTTATGTACACACAAAGACTATACAGAAATATATTATAGCAGATTTATTCTAATAGCCCAAAACTAGAAACAACCAAATGTAGATCCACAGGCAAATGGACAAACTAGATGTGGTACATGCATACACTGGAATACTACTCAGCAATAAAAAGGAATGAAGTACTGATACAAGTGTTGTAGGCTGAATCATGACTCCCCAAGATGTCCACATTCTAATCCCTGAACCTGTGAATGTTCCCATCTTTGGCAAGAGGGACTTGCCAAGTTAAGGATCTTGAGATGGGAGAATAAACTGGATTATCAGAGTAAGTCCTAAATAATCAAAGTGTCCTTACAGTAGGCAGGCAGAGGAAGATTTGCCTACAGAAGAGAAGGCAATGTGATAACGAAAGCCGAGTCTGGAGTAATATGGCCATGAGCAAAGGAAGGCAGGCAGCCTTAGAAGCTGGAAGGGACAGGGAACCAATTCTCCCCTGGACTCTCCAGAAGGAACCAACCCTGCCAACACCTTGATTTTAGCCCTTTTAGACTCACTTCAGATTTCTGACCTCCAGAACTGTAAGAGAATAAATTTGTGTTTTAAACCACTTAATTTGTGCTTTAACTTGTTACAAACTTCAATTTGTTACAGTGGCAACAGGAAACAACATAGATAAATCTATAAAACACCATGCTGAATGAAAGAAGCCTTAGACAAAAAAGTACACGCATGTACGATTGCATTTATATGAAATTCTAGAACAGGCAAAAATAATCTATAGCGAAACAAGGCACAGTGGTGGCCTGGGCATGGGGACTGACTGGGAAGGAGCGTGAGGGAACTTTCTGAGGTGGTGATACAGTCTCTATCTTGCTAGGGGTTTGGATAACAAAGCTATCCATTTGTCAAAACCCATCAAATGACACAGTTAAGATTTGTGCATTTTATTATATATAAATTTTATCTCAAAATGAAAAAGAAGCATAAATAAATATTAAACTCTAGGTGCTGATACACATGTTACAATGTTTAGGATGATGTGTACTGATGTTTGCAAGTTACTTTGAAATGCATCCAAAAGTAAGAAGAATTGATGGATGAATACAGGATAAACAGATATATGATAAAGCAAATACAGCAACATGTTAACTGTAGAATCTAGAAGGTGGGTATGTGGATGTCCACTGTATAATTTTTTTCAACATTTCTGTATGTCTGAAAATTTTCAGAATATAATGTTGGGGAAGAAAGTGTGGGAACACTCACCATTTTTTTCTTCCTGCAGCCAAAGATGAGGATCAGTATATACAATTTTATTATATCTTTGGCGAACTGTCTCCTGGTATTTCTTTAAAAAAAAAAAAGGTTTAATTTAGCAGAAAATGAGTTTCGTCACAAACCAGAACTAGCCAGGATGTAACAGTTCAGCAGACACATTTGATACAGACACACTGCCAGAAACGGCATCCGCCAGGCCAGGAAGTGACTAGTTCATGAAGTGAGGTCTGAAATAAAATGAAGCAATCTAATCAATCTAATCCAGACCAGTGGTGCCCACTAGAACTCGCTGTGATGATGGAAATGCTCTATATTTGCCACGTCCAGTATAGTAGCCACTAACTATTGACAACTGGAATTATGAGTAGTGTGTTTAACCTTAATTAATTTACATTTAAATACCCATATGTGGCTAGAGGCTTCCATTCTGGACACTTCAGGTCTAGACAGTTACCCCCAAGAAGGGGAAAACAGTTACGAGACTAGGATAAACTGTGCATCGTTAAATTTTCAAAAACCAACAAAAAATTGTCTTCCCTCTAGTGTTTATACTTAGCAGTAAAACCAAAATGAGATTCAGTCATGGTGGAGTTAAAAAGAAAATGTTGAATTGGGAGTCGGGAGACCCAGATTCTCATCCTAGCTCTCGTGGGAATTCTTTTGGGACCTTGGCCACATCGATTCCTCCCTTATTGTGCCTCAATTTTCTGTTCTAAACAATCCAGGGTTTGGGCTGGGTAATGTCGGAGGTCTAAAATGCTATGAGAAACGCATTCTAAAGTAGCATCATGGGAATTAAAGAGGGTAAAATTACCTGTGACTTGTCAGGATCACACGATACAGGGTAGAAGAGGTAACTGAATAGCATTTACAAGTTGAGAGATGAAGCAGCCAATAGTCCTATTTGTGGGCCTGGGTTCTGGTCCCAGGGTTTTTCGAATCCCATATCAATGATATTGGGGGATAATAATGATGGTTATGTGTCAGGTAGTGTAATGATACTTCACACTTCCTGAGTTATGTGTCAGGTAGTGTAATGATACTTCACACCTTTTACCCTTAAAAACACTTACTTATTAGAGAGGGTTAATGACTTTACCAAGGCCATATGGTTGGTTGGCAGTCAAGCTGGGATTTAAAACCAGGATTGTGTGACTGAAGTACTAGGCTACAGAAGCATGAGGAGGAGCAGTGCTCAGCAGAAGCCAGCCCCCAGTGGCAAAACAGAGCCACAGCCCCAGACCTCACTTCCATTTCCTCCATTCGGAGCATCATGGTCTCCAGATATGGGCTGTCCTTGATGTCCCCCAAGGTGTCTAAGGCTTCACACTCCAAGATCTTAGAGTGAGTTATAGTCCAGAGCTCATGAGCGGTATCTTCCAAAAAATCATCCAGCTGACGAATGTTGTTGGATTCAGAATCAACAGCCGTAGCCTACAAAACAAGGGAGGGGGATGGAAAGGCAACAAGAAGAAAACAGAAGAACTTAATGCTGATCATAATAAACCAGCCACATAGAGATCCAACTGGCAGTTTCTATGCTAGATCAAATCTCTCCTAAGTCCGTAAATATCAAAAGCAGTAACATCAGTACAATTTCTACCACAGTCGTTTAAATGGTAGCATTAACCAAGTAATATCTTTATTGCCCATGTAAATTATCATTATTACCTGTTTTGCTTGCTGGTAAAGCAAATATCTTCTTTGTGCTATACTCAGAAGAATGTCCAATACTTTACATGCCACCTACTCCAGAGGATGTATGTATTCTCTTTTGGGTCAATGCTTCTGTAAAAATATCTGTTCCTGGTATCACAAAGTTCCTGAGTCTTTGTCTTTGCTTGAGACTTGCTATCTATAACCCGGGAGAGCTTACAGGCTTTTTGACCTTGTATTCTTTACATTCACAAAGCACTTTACAGTTTGCAAATCATCTTTACATGCATGGTACTTCTTTTGACTCTAATATATGTCTATAATCTGCTCTAAAAGAGGTTTTTGCAAAAAACGTCTGCTAGGGAAATGATCACATCAGGCTTTGGAATGAGGCATTTCCGCGACTGAATCCTGGTTCTGCCCACTGATATGCCTACAACTGTGGGCAAGTTCACTTAACCTCTCTGGGCCTCAGTCTGCTCATCTGTAATAAGGAAGTGATAATCTTCTATTTCAGAGTTATAAGGATTACACGAGTGCTTGCATGTTGGGAGACTCAGCACAGTCATTGGCATGAAATAAGACACTCAATGAACAGTTACTGCCACAGCAATTTTGAAAACCTTGTAACAGTTCAGAGAAGAAAACATATTAATGGCCAATAAAGATATAAAGAAATGCTCAACCTCAAGTTAAAGAAATAAAAATCAGTTGAATAATCAATACAACAGAATTACAAAAAATCTAGCAACAACTAAACCAATAATACCAGTTTAGTTAAGATGTGTGTGTATCTGAATGTGTAATATTTTTCATCTATAAAGAATGGAATATCAAGAATATTATGTGCCATTAAAAAAGATAAGGAAGGTCTCAATGTGCTGATCTGGAAAGATCACTAAAATATAAAGAAAGAAGCTAGGCACAGAACAGGATACGGTATCCATTGGTGGGGAGGTTTAACTTTTTACATTATACTTGTTCTAAATTGTTTGAATTTTTAGCCATGTGCATATAACTTTTAAACTTAAAAATGATACATTTTGGAAAAATATATTTCATGTGCAAGTTCAGCTATTGACAACAGCAGCAGCAATAGACAAATATGTTATAACACTACCCTTCCAAGAGCTTTTTCCTGCTATCAGAGATTATCTTGTCTGTAAGTAAATCTATTGTGAGTTGTATTTTACTTGTAAAGTGTAACAAGTGTCTTCTGCATTTTAGAGATGAGAATTTTGAGAATTTGTCTTCAAGGTCCCATAGCTCTTCTATAAGTTAACATAGAAAATGATTCTTTTTACTTCATTATGCCAATCTCAATGAGTTTGTTTGTTTTTATTCAGTTATTTATAAACATTAACTCTTGATGGTGCTGCCTGGGAAACTCTTTGCAACGATGCTGATGTTTAACAGCAGCCAGAGTACCATAATACTAATAACCAGAATACTAAACACCGCATAGTTATTTTTCTTTTTCATTAAATTATATTAAAGACCATTTAATGCCTACAGAATAATTCATATATACGAGGCTGGCTGATCATTCCCAGTAATATACGAGGCTGGCTGATCATTCCCAGTAATATACGAGGCTGGCTGATCATTCCCAGTAATATTCAAACATGTCTTCTTTACTAACAGCATTTATAATCACTTCATTTTTCTCTCATATTAAAATGCCATATGGAGTTGCCTCCCTAGCATTAGATGTTAGTCTCATTATTTTGCCAGGAAAAAAAGCATCATTTGGTGGCTATGCTGCACAAAGCACCAAGCCATAGCACACCTGGTTTGTAAGAGCTAAATGTAGGCTTTCAGCTTCCGGTCTTAGAAGCCTCACCTCACATTAGATTCTGTCACAAAATATTGATCCAATAATGTACCTTCCACTCCACAGCCCTAAGCCTAGGCAGGATAGGAACATTCCCACAGATATTAAACACAAGTCCTCCAGAGGAAGAGCACAACGGTGACAACCACAAAATATGTTTTCATTTTTCTCAGATGTTATTTTTCTTCCTGGGCCATCTTTTCTCTCTACTGGGCCAGATACTGATCATTATTAGGCCTTCAAAACATGTTTACCTAACAATAAATATTAGACACTAAGTATAAAGGAAATTAGGCCAGTAATGAGCAAAACTAGGCTGAATGAAAGGAAATGAGGGCGACCATTCTTCTGCTGCAGGCCATCAACATTCAGGGTCACGCAGTGCACCCACATTCTGTCACCAGGAGAGGAAAAGAGCCGCTGACAAAAACCTGTGGCTCTAGAGATTTCTGTGAGCTGTTTGCAAGACTAAGTCATAATGCTAAATATACGCTGGAAGAATTAACATGCCAAATATGAAAAATAACTTTCACCCTTTTTGAATAGGATAATCTAGTGTTTGCAAAGTAATCTGTGTATCATTTTCTTTACAACATTATCACATAATGATACCAGTATTAGCCCAGAATACCAACACCACACCATACACACCTCCTCTGCAGGCTGGGCTATCGCTGTGTTTACTGATGGCCGATCCTTCAAATGACTATCTGCTTCCAGAGAAGAATTGACTCTCTATTAAAACAGACAAGCACATTCATGAATTATAAAAATTTACAACCCATATTAGTACAAATGAATTCTGTTCCCAGAATAACTTGTGCGTAGAACTGCCGTCAGCTTCAGCTACGTTAGGCTTTTTGCAGCAACTCAAAGCACTTTGTCCTCATGAAAATAAATGCCATGTGTTGATCTTGGCTTTCTGCCTTTTCTTGCCTCAACTTTGTAAACCTTGTCAGAGTAGCTGTGTGTTTTTATGCAATTACTCAACTTCTCTGTTCCACAGTTTCCTCATGGATAAAATGAGGAGGTTGGACAACTCGGTCTCTAAGAGCCCTATCAGTTCTACATTCCTGAGATTTCCGTGGACTCTAATAATAATTTAATATTTCTTAAACTAAAGATACAAAAATTCAGTGGGACCCAGGGACCCAGAACGTCATTTGTTCCACTTAAGATTATATTTTTCTTCTGTGGTCTTATCTGTTTATACAAACAAGATTATTTCCATTTACAAGTTGGATCTACAGGGTCTGACCATAGCATTCATCTTACTGCTTATGGGAGGACGGCACAACATGCTGGTGATGCTGTATGCTGTTTCACCTTCAAGAGAGTACGGGTTTGTACACAAAAGCTGTTCTAACATCACTCTCCTTTGGAAAAATAGAGCCAATCATTCCAAAACCACTAAGGTGAAAGAGCACAGGATTAGAATGGAAGCAGTTAATTGAACACTAACATCACCAACACAACTATTTGATTACGAAGGGAAACTGCAATCTGAACTCATTCCCCAAACTAAAATCTCACCTTTCTCAAAAGTGGGACTTTCTCTCTCTTCCCCTTGTCTTTATCCCTTACCCACAATGGAAGACACAGCAACAGTGTGCGGTGGTCTGCAGGTGCCCAAAACGGGCCCCAGCAACACCGCGCCCATACTGTGCAGCACAGATCAGCACTGCAGCCTCCAGCTGCCACACAGACACTCAGCCCTACAAAGGGTCAGTGTGACCTCTGCAGCAACTCTTTTTATTCTAGAACTTCCAAAAGGCAAGCAAATGAGATGAACTAGATTACCTGGGCCTTGACCAGGAGAGGCTTCAAACGCTCCAGAACTGCCTTCTCTACCTTGTCTGCTAACTGGGTGGCAGAAACACTATTCAGAAATAAAACTGAAAATTAAAATCAAAAACAAGAAAATATCCTACTTTGCACATTTATTTACCACTCCAGGTGAAGGGAAATCAAACGATTATAAAAATCACAGTGCTTCTCTAATTTTAATGCCCATACAAGTCCCTGGGGATCTGTTAAAATGCAGACTCTGATTCAGTTGGTCTGAGTGAGGCCTGAGATTCTGTTTTTCCAACAAGCTCCCAAGCGATGCAACACTGCTGGTCCTGGACCCCACTTTGAGGACAAGGGTTTAGATAACATCTGAAGAAGTAGGTTAGGCTCTGAGTACATTTTAAAAGAATAATGGCTGCCTTTAAACAACTAAAGAGGATGGAAGACTGAACAAATGACACCCATTTTGTTCCCTCCCCAAACCCCACAATAATAGAGTTAGGTATAAACTCACAAAGACAAGGGAAAAAAATGGTGCTGGAAAACAGAAGGACAAAAGTGATAACTAACTTACCTGACCTGAGAAAACTGAATTCTAGGCTAGCAACGGGAAGAACTGAGAACCCACACAATTTGCACTGCTGACTTAAACAGGCACAGCACTGGCAGTACTACTACGTAGATCTAGGCCTGCAGGGGGTGAGCTGGAGGGGGTGGCTTATGTATAGAAGATAAGAGTCAAATGATGTTTGAGAAGTTAGATCCCTGGGTCCCTTCCCTACTTCACACAACTGCGACTCTGAGAGAAGTCTGGTTGCTCACTCCCTGGAGGTGTCTCTTGACTAAGGGATGCCAATCACAGGTAAGCTGTAGGTACCCTACTGAAAAGAGGGGATTGTGCATGCATGCAGAATGCCGAGTGATAAGACTCACAGCCCTCCTCCCCAACCCAGCTCCTAGGACACTGGCATCCGGATGCTTAACCTCCAGACAGAAGATCAAAAGATTCTTCTCTGGACAGTCTGAACCACCCCACAGGAAAGACCTAAAGACCACTCTGAGGGTCCTTAGCAAACAGTCTACCCAGATGACCCTAAAGTTCAAGTTCAATAATCCTTTCATCAGATGGTGCTAGGATATCTGGCTAGGATAGCCAGATATCCATAAGGAAAACAATGAACCTTGATCAGTATCGCATCTTATACATAGAAATTAATTCAAAATGGATCACAGATATAAAAATAAAAGCTAAGACCATAAAGCATTTAGAAGAAAACACAGAAGAATATCTTTTAGACCTTAGCATTGGCAATGATTTCTAAGACAGTTCACAAAAAAAAGACTAACTGTAAAGTAAAAAATTGATAAACTGGTCTTAATCAAAATTTAAAACTTCCAGTCATCAAAAGACACTATTAAGGGGCCGGCCCAGTGGCGCAGCGGTTAAGTGTGCGCACTCCGCTTCAGCAGCCAGGGGTTCGTAGGTTCGGATCCCGGGCGTGCACTGATGCACTGCTGCTCAGGCCATGCTGTGGCGGTGTCCCATATAAAGTAGAGGAGGATGGGCATGGATGTTAGCCCAGGGCCAGTCTTCCTCAGCAAAAAGAGGACGATTGGCAACGGATGTTAGCTCAGGGCTGATCTTCCTCACACACACACAAAAAAGACACTATTAAGAAGATATACAGAAAAGCCACAGTATTGGGAGAAAATATTTGCTGCACATATATCTGACAAGGGTTCAAATCCAGAAAAAATAAAAAAACTCTTAAAAATCAGTAATTTAAAATAAAAGAATAAAAAATGGGCAAAAGACTTAGACACTTCACAATAAGACTAGAAAAGGTGCCCATCATAACTAGATTTCAAGGAAATGCAAATTAAAACCATAACGAGATACCACCACTCTCACCAGAATGGCTAAAATTTAAAAGACAAACAGACAATACCAAATGTTAGCAAGGATGTGGAACCACTAGAAAGGAACTCCCATACTAACTAAAAACACGAACAAACCAAACGTTAATCCATAGGAGAATGGATAAATAGACTGTGGGATATTCACAGAATGGATACTACTCAGCAATAAAATGGAACACGCTGTACTTTATAGGCAGCCCACTGTCCCCCTGCCCAGGTTTCTTCCAGAAGTCCACTGTACCTCGCTCACTTCCAGGTGCCCCAAATGTGGTTAAGCCTTACATCTGCAAAGACTCACTCACGACCTTGCCCACCGACTTCCTGGGACGGGTGCCTACTATCTGGAAGCGCAGGTCAGATTATGAGCCAGACTCTGTTCAGCCTACTTTCCCCTGGGAATCTTCATCTAATACCAGCAGCGCTGCCCTTTCCTTGTTGAGCTAGGTTTGTGCTTGCTTCCCAGTTTTCAAAATTCAACAATATACTGTTAGCGATACACACATAGGTGACAGATTTATGAATAAAGGTAATGACGAGATTAACACAGGACTCGGGACAGTGGTTACTTAGCTCTGGGGGGAAAGGAGGGGATGCAACTGAGGAGGGACACACAGGGCGTTTTCAGAGTGGGGGTGAGATCTACTCCTTGGTTTGGGGGGTGCACGGGTGTTTGTTTTGTAATATTTTGGACTGTACATATGCATTTAGTATGTTCTTCTACGTGTATGATTTTTTTTTAAATAAAAAAACAATCAGATAAATGGGGTACAGAGAATTACGCTTTTGCTATTTGACCCAAAGTGGGTAGGAGTCACATGGAATCCATTTCCAGTACAATCTAAGGTCACAGCTTCTAAAGCTAGAAATAACCGAGGAATGGACCACCTCAGATGGTGGTGACCATCCCATCCCAGAGGCTGTGTACCAATATGCTGGACAGTTATTCGTGGAGATAGTCCAGAGGGGCTGGAAGCATTAGTCGGGGGAAAAGATCCTTCAATCCTAAGATTCTGTGATTGTATAACTTGAAATCTTAATTATAGACAAAAAAATCTCAGCCCTCTAGGGAATGAACTTTCTATCATGATTGGTGACAGAACGCACAGCTGTTTCAATGAGAATTCTGTTCATTTGACTTCGGGGTGAATTATCATCAGAGCTCGAAAAATGAGCCAAACTGCAGCAATAGCAGCATCAACTAAATCTTCTCACAAACTTCTTCATGCCTATAGTTAAGTGGCAACAACACTCCTAAGCGACAAATGGAAAAAGGCAACCTCATTAGAACACCTTAGGCTGCATTCAAGTTGACGTGTGAAGCAAAGTATCTATACACTCACTCACATGAGCAGAACGTGCACATCAACCTCCTACCTGGCCAAGAGAAAAGCACCTTGGAGGGCAGCACAGACACACACAAGTAAGACTCTGATCTTTCAAGACAGAACTTCCCCCAAATTGTACATGTTTTTTCAGTTATCAATCAAACCCCATATGAAAGAAATATTTGCTAGCAAAAGTACTATATAAAATACATGTAGGCGTGCAGGTATTCATTCATTCACTCATTCACTCATTCATTCATTTAGTGAGGTTAGGCTTAAATGGTCCAGGTTGGTAAAACAATCTAGATCAATTAGAATAGGCAAGCATTCACTATTCTTCCTCAGAAGCAAACACATACCTCAATTTTTGAAGTCTATCCATTTCTTCAGTTTTGAGTTCATTCAATTCCTTTGTTCTTCTGGAAGTTTCAGCATCAAGCCAATCGAGCCTAGAGGATAGTACAAAATTGTCACCCCAACTCTCCTCAAAGCAGCCAGGACTCCCTTGGGGTCCAATCTTGGCTCCACTGTAGGCTTCTCAGGTGACCTCAAAGTCTTCTAAGTAGGCAGATAGCCAATAAACACAAGTAGTGTGACTATACCTCTAAACAATCTCAATTAGCTCTTCAAACAGCTAGATGAGGTAGAATAGGCTTGCTCTTGCTCTACCTCAGAAACAGATATTTACCTCTGTTTTTGCATTTTGTCCATTTCTTTGGCTTTTAATTCTTCTAGTTCCTTCAATCTGTTGGAAGTTTCAGCATCAAGCCAAGCGAGTCTAGCAGAGAGTATAAAAGAGTCAGACCGATTGTGCCTCAACCTGCAGGGTGTCATTACCACAGAAACAGACCAGGAGTCAGCATTCCCCAGACCCCAATCCTGGCTCCATTAAAGACTCAGTAGGTAAGACAACCTCTCTGTACCCATAAAGCTCTCCACGCCATGTTCCATGTCAAAAGACATATTTATGTGCACAAGCACTCCCAGTTAGTGTGTAGGGAAACAAAAAACTGCCCACGAATATTCTCCAGGAAACTAGCCATCACTGTATTTAGGATTTCTGGTTCAACTATAAAGTAAAGCTGTTGCTGTATCTTCAAGTTTAGACAAAGAAATGAATACCCAGGAGAGCCATAAAGGCATAGTGAATTCAAATAAAAACAGAAAGGAAAAGCCAACTCTGAACAACTTTATCATATGTGGAAGGGCTCTGACTTTTTCAGTTTAGGACATGTGAATATTATCCAGTTATTTAACGGCCCACTTTCATTTTTGCTTTCCCATAATTGCAAGAACAACTTCAGCCAAACAATGCACAGCGACCTGTGTTCACTGCTCTCTTCTCATAGGATGTTCTCACCTCATCACCCCCTATTTAAAGCCTACTCTTCAAGTCCTAAATTATGTTCCATCTCCCTCCATGAAGCCCAGATTTCTGCAGCAAGACGTACCCCGTCCCCTTCTAAACTCTCTCAGTACTTAACCCTTTAGTTCCTAGGGTACACACCATGTTCTAGCTTAAATTATAATTAATGACATGTCCTCCCTACTGACTGTAAATAAGCAGGGGCTGGGATTCTGTCTTTTCTGTCCTTGTTTTAAAAAGTCTCCATAGAGCTGACAACCGTACCATACACAAAACAAGCAATTGGTAGACAACCGACACACGTAATCTTTGAATGAATAAAATAAGAAATATTGGAGGAGTTCCCTCGTCTAAGCTGCATAGTTTGACAGAAAAGCTTAGTAATTTACATTTTAAATAACCAACTTTATATATAGGAAAGAGAAGAAAGAGTTCACTGTAGAATCTACGTGAAAGGGACTCTCTAATTTTCAAAGATTTGAAAAATACCAGCACAAACCTAGCTGCTTCATGCTCAACAGCACCTCTCAATTGACTTTCCTCTTGAGTATCTTCTTGCTGGAGAGACTGTTCTTTTGCAGCACCTTTGGGGCTCGATTTCACCTTTCGCCATGCAGCGCTGCAAAAAATGGAAAAGTATACCTTTGTAATCATTCACTTCACATCCAATGACTCATCAAAAGGTGCCAGCTCAGAGAAGACAAGAGCATTAAATCAACAGTGATCTACAGCATGGGGCTCTGCATGTGAAGAAGAGTGAGATCCTCCAGGATTCAGGCTCACTGTCAAAGGAGAGAAGTTCCCCTTCACTTCACAAAAGAATCACTATTTTAAATGAAAAAACAATCATCAGTTACGGAATAATGGGCGAACTTCAACAAAACCCTGTTATAATATACAGATTTGGGTCACTAATTGCATTCCATATTATAAAGCAACATTGTACCTTTATAAGGCCTAACAGCACTATGAACCTAGAAGCCTTATCTGCTTCCCTCCCCCACCCACCACACACACACTCTAGAAGACAGTCTGCTGAATGTTTGGTTTGCAATATAAACTTCAACCAATTGATGTTTTTATGAGCTTATCAAGTGAATTCACATCTCTATACCAACACATATATAAAAATACAGAATTTAGAGCAGAGAAACAAAAACAAAAAAGCACATTTTGAAATCAGAAGAGCTGATTTTAGTCCCAGCTCTGCTATATAAGCAAGACATTAAATTCTCTATTGTTTCTTCAACTTTAAAGTGAGGGCTGATGGATGAGCATAACCACTCATTCAGAATCATTGACAGTCTGAAGGGGAATCCATTCCCGTTCTCACCCTGTCTTCTGCCAGCCTCCCAAAAGGTGGACCCCTCTTCTCACTCGTTCTCTCCCCACATTACTGCTTTCTGCTGCCTTCTTTCTACTGTCCTATCTCCTGGTCCTTTCCATTGTGCTTTCAAGAACCACTGTCCCGTGGTCAAGAAGCTCCCCTTTATCTTTAACCAATTCCCCAAAGACTATTTCCACCTCACTGGACCCTGCTGCCCTGGAGGACAATCCCTTCTTGCTGCTCTGTGGAATGGTGGCTCCTCCTTCTCCAGGTGCTGTGACTGAGGGTGACACGACAGTCATGTCAGCATTATCCTAACTGTCCCCTGAAGTCAGGACAGTGTCTATGAAATGTGTATGGTTCTATAACTCATAATTATCTTGACTTGGAATTAGAAATATTTTTAAATATTCATTCATTCAGCAAAGATTTACCTAATGCCTAAGATTTACTAAGTACCAGGCACTGTGCTAAACACTGAACATTTGGATATAAGAAAGGCACAGCTCTTGGCCTCAAGTAACCAGAGTCTACTGGGTGAAGAGGCAAGTGAAGGGAAGCCCACGACCCTCCACACAGTGACACACGTCCCCAGGGTGTTGGGGTGGCCCATGGAAGGCTACTCTACCCACAGTCAGGCAGGAAAAAGGAACCAACAGGCTTCTAGACAAAAACTTCTCATGCATTACTCACCCAAATAAGTTTCTTCTTAATGGGAACTAAGGCTGCTGCTTTATTTGCACTAAAGCAATAGATCACCTTCGATCTGGGGAGGAAAAATAAAATCACATAGCCAAATGTTCCATGAACTTTTACATACCATTTGGGAGATGCCGGTGGGGAGGTGGGGTTTGGAGGTATCCAAGGAGCCCTGTGGTCTTTCACAGGCTGTTGGTTCATTTTTAATCTCGATGAGACTGTTGTCCGTTGCAACCTGCTTTTGCTGTGAGATTGGGTTGGTCTATTTTTTTCAGTTTTGTGGAGCCCCTTTAAGAGATAAATATGAATTATAAAGCTAAACGGATATCAAAGAAACAGGTTTTAACCTCTGGCTTACTGAAGCTTCAAGTGTCTCTATGCTATTCACGCACCCACTCAGCAAAAACCTAAGCGGAAAGCGCTGTGGTAGAAATTTGAGGGAGGGTATAAATTACACTGAAACAACCCTGATGGGGGAGAAGGGGAAGGAGGTGTAAAACTGGAATCCCTGGCTTTGCCATATAAACTATACATAAAATATATTATATTTATTTTTATCTTCTTCCTAATTAAACAAACCAAAAAAAAGAGGGAGGGGCCGGCCCGTGGCTTAGCAGGTTAAGTGTGTGCACTCTGCTACTGGCGGCCCAGGTTTGGATCCTGAGTGCGCACCAACCCACCACTTGTCGGGCTACGCTGAGGCCACGTCCCACATACAGCAACTAGCAGGATGTGCAACTATAACATACAACTATCTACTGGGGCTTTGGGGAGAAAAAGGAGAAAAAAAGGAGGAGTGGCAATAGATGTTAGCTCATGGCCGGTCTTCCTCAGCAAAAAGAGGAGGATTGGCATGGATGTTAGCTCAGGGCTGATCTTCCTCACAAAAAAAAAAAAAAAAAAAAAGAGGGAAACTGTAAAACATTCTTGGTTAAAATACTTAAACTCTCTGAGTTTTAGGTTTCTCATCTGTAAAATGGCAGAAAATTTCTTCACAAGTTTCTAGAAGATTAAATGGGCTAACATAGGAGGAGTATGATGATGAAGGTAGAAAGGCATATGCCATCTAAATAGAATGCATCAGGCTATTTTAAAACACTACAGAGAATGAGACTATCTCTGGAGAAGAGCACCAAGCTGAATTCGTACAGGCTCAATTCTGACTTCCCAATGGCCCCCCATAAGAGTTTGTTTGGAAAGGAATAAAAACTTGATCCTAATCCATGATCTATTAGCAACTGGTAATAACTGCTCAATATCCTTTTTCTGGGGTCACCAGACAATATAGAGGTTTGCTACAGAAGCCTCTGACAGCACCATCAGATGGCAGTAACTACATTAACGGTATTTAGTTAGGAGGTGGTTTTCTGGTCAGTTCTCCACTGGTAGGCCCTTAAGTTAAATTTTAAATAGAAGCTTAAAATATAATGTAGTTTCAAGCAGGCTGGCTCCCAAAGCCATATTAGAAAATACTCATCCTAGGATGCCTTTTAATATTGAGTGATTATTATTTATCAGTATTTATCTTTAGCAGCAACCAAATCTTAATCCCCTCAAATTTCACACTTTCAAATCAGAAGCAGAAAAAAACCGAATTTTAAAATAGCCTGCCTGACGGGGCCGGCCCGGTGGCTTAGTGCTTAAGTGCGAGCGCTCCGCTACTGGCGGCCCGAGTTCGGATCCCGGGCGTGCACTGACGCACCGCTTCTCCGGCCATGCTGAGCCCGAGTCCCACATACAGCAACTAGAAGGATGTGCAACTATGGCATACAACTATCTACTGGGGCTTTGGGGGAAAAAAAAAAAAGGAGGAGGATTGGCAATAGATGTTAGCTCAGAGCCGGTCTTCCTCAGCAAAAAGAGGAGGATTAGCACGGATGTTAGCTCAGGGCTGATCTCCCTCACAAAAAAAAACAAAAAAACAAAAAAACAAAAACAAAAACAGCCTGCCTGATTAGGACCTTGGTACCAAATTAGTTAGGACCTTACCAAAAGGGGACAAGAAAGAACGCCCTGTCCTACTAACATATTAAAATCTGTTATTTTTTGTTAAAAAATAAAAACAACTTGGAGCCAAGCTAAGTCAGCTTACTTTAGATAGATGGGCTCAAGGGCTCTGGCATTCAAATCCTGGCTCCACCACTTACTAGCCTGTGTGACCTTGGACAACATAAGATTAACACAAATGGGCCCAAAGAAAGAAGTGATTTCATACTTGCTGTAGTCTTGTCGGCACCAGAGTATCGTTCTTCCTAGCAGGCACATCCTCAGTCACAGGCTTCTTTTTGACTGCTCTTGTTTTTGCCGGGGCTAATGCCTCTTCTTTGAAGCTTGCGTTTTGGTCTAGAATAGATGGAGCTTCTTCTGGAAGTATATCCGCATCTAATACATCAAGCTCATTCTCCAACCTCTGGGTCACTGGAAGCTCTCTATCACGTTGATACTTATCTATATGGAAATTTCAGAAGGACAAACTGGGGAAATGCTCTTCAAACCAAGTGGTGAGAACGATTACCTACAGACAGATAAGCTTCACGTATCTGTCCAAGCCCTGCTAAAAACAGAGGTGCCCTGTTCCAAAGCTGTTCCTCATCCTACGACTGCCACTGCGGCTCCACAAGCAGAAACCTGAGTGTCGTGGCTGACTCCCTGGCCCCCACCTCCCACATTTACTCACTCCCCTGCTCCCTTTGATCCTAATTCTAAAACATCTCTTGCACCTCTCTCTGCCCTTCCCTCCCTTCTGCCACCACCCAAGGTCAGGCTTGCAATATCATGACTGTGATAATAGCATCTCCTAACTGACCCCTTATCTTCAATCATACCTTTAGCTGGTTACAAAAACTGTTTTTATAAAATGTAAATATTTAAATGTCACTTCTCAAAACCTTTGATGGCTCCTAATTTGATACAAAATAAAGTCTGAACTCCATACATGACATTCAACCTGCAACAGGAAGGAAAATAAAACTATTTTTATTTGAAGGTGGGATAATGTTTTCTATATAGAAAATCCAAAAGAATCTTCAGACAAACAATTACAACTAAGAAGAGAGTTCAGCAAGGTTTCTGGATAAAAGTAAAATATACAAAAATCAATACCACTCCCACATATCAAAATAACTAATTAGAGAAAACATAAGAGAAAAAAATATCCCACTAACACTGGCAACAAACACTTCACGGCACTCAGGAAGAAATCTAACAAAAGATGTACAAGGCTTTTACAGAAAAAATTCAAAGGTATTTTTAAAGGACATGAAAGAAGATCTGAGTAAATTGCTTTCATGAACGAAAAGAATACTGTAAAGATGTCAGTTCTCCCCAAAGTAATCTATAATTTCAAATGCAAATTCAATTAAAATCCCAACAGATTTTTTTTTGTGGATCTAAACAAGCAGATTCTGAAATTCTTATGAAGAGTAAGATCCCAAGATAGCCCAAATAATTCTGAAGAAGAACAACAAAGTGAGGAGTGGGGCGGGGGTGGAGTCTTATTCCACCAGAGATACAGGCTCCGTGATAAAGCTGTAATAATCAGGGCAGTGTGGGAGTGAGGCAGGAACAGGCAGAAACCAGCAAAGCAGGACGGAGATGACAAAGGCGGCATGACAAATCAGTGAGCGTGAACTGGACTGTTCCATAAATCGTGCTGGGACTGTGAGCATCCATAGGTAACAAAATAAAACAGGATCCCTGCCTCACACTGAACAACACTTAAATTCTAAAGAGAATGAAGATCTAAATGGGAAAGGAGAACTTCAAAGCTTTTAGAAGAAAATATAAGAGAATTTATGACATCAGGGCAGAAAAGGCTTTCTTAAACTCAAACATAATATTAATGCATTTAAATTTAATTACAGTGAACTACAACTTCTTTTGACAAAAAGACACCATAAAGTCAACAGACAAGCCAGAGTCTGGAAGTAGATATCTGTAATGCATATAATTCATAGGATTAATACCCAGAATATGTAAAGAAATGTCTATAAATCTATAAGAAAAATAAACAATCCAACAGAGAAATAGACATAGGATAGAAACTGACAATTTAGAGAGAAAATGTGACTGTCAATGAAAACATGAAAAGATCACAGCAACCAGAAAAATCCAAATTAAAACAATGAGGTATCACTTCACATCCATCAGATTGGGGGAGAAATTTTAATACGACAATACCAAGCATAAAGAACCAAGGATGTGGAAACCAAGTACTCTCACAAGCTCCTAGTGCGGGAGTCAACTGGCCTCACTTCCCGGAAGAGCACCTTGACGGCTCTAGCGAAGCTGAAGACCTGCCCACTCGGCAACCCAGCAGTTTCACTCCCAGGTACACACTCAGCCTAGAGGGACTCTCACGCGTGCACAGGGGAAGACATGAGCACGGATACTCACTTCATGGTTTATAGGAGCAAAAACTGGAAATAACCCAAACGTCCATCAATGAGAACTGAAAATAAACTACGGTATATTCACACAAGGGAAACCTATACAGCAATTAAATTAGTAAATTAGAATTCACATATCAATATGAACAAGTCTTACAAACATAAGTGGGGTTTGGAAAAGCAAACTGCACAAGGATGCATACTGTAGGATAATCATTTACATGAAATGTATAGCATATGAAACAATGTACAGTGAAACAGTGACCCAGAGGTTGCTTATGGATAGATACACAAGCAGTAGAAGTATAAAAACAGAAGAGGTCCATATTACAACAACAACAAGAGTAACCTCTGGTGAGGGAGGGAGGGGGATCGATGGGGAGAGAAATGTAAAAGGGACTTCAGCTGTACCTGTCATATTTTATTTCTAAAAAAACTTCTGAAACAAATAAAGCAAAAATGTTAAAATCTGTTAAATCTGGGTAGTGGATACACAGGTGTTAATTATTTTCGATCTTTTTCTGTATGTTTTAAATATTTCACAATGAAAGGAAAACTACACTTGGACTATAACAGCAGTTGGTCAAGGGCCAGATTCCCCTGCATCCCTTCTTTAATCTGGTAGTTTTCAGGGTTACAGAGGTCACATAGCAAGGAAGTATAAACTGGAAGGAAAGGATACTAAGACTAAATCGTTGGTCTATAATTTATTTATTAACCCCCAAGTTCACATATAGCAAAGCAACTCTGACCTCTAGGGCCTGATGCCTTTTTGGTTATGATTTACATAAATCAACATGTAAATACAGTACAAGTTCCAGGGGCATCTGAGTTTGAGGACATTGTTGGTAGTGGGGAGGGACACCATCCTTACATCTGACAAGCTATACTAATGCAATCAACCACTGCAAGAATACTTCAGAAGCCCCTAAAGAACTGCACCAACCAACAAATATATAAATCACAAGAGCAAATCAGCCTCATACATATATCCCAACTGAAAAGGGCAGAGAGGGTTGTCTATCCAAGTGGCTCCCTATGACTTTTTGGGGGTGAGTAGTAGGGAAGAGGAGAACTTAGGAAGTCAGAATGGAGGAATTTGGTAGAGTGATATCTAAAACAGAAACAGAAAATGTAACCTTCTGAAATCCAGATCACAAGGACAAGAAGAAAAACACAAATAAAAAAAGTAAAAATAAGAGAGCTACCACATCCTTCCCCACAAGCAAACGTATTAAATTTGCAAAGTGCTAACAATGACCAGACCTCAATGTGTAGTAACGACGATTATTATCATCTCTTACATCTGCACAACACTTTTTCAGTTTATAACATCATTCACATTTGAGCCTCACCAGACACACAGAGCAGGCAGGACGATTACTACAATTTTTCAGATGAGGAAATGACGGTTCAGTGTTTTACTCGAGGTCACAGGGAGAGTAAGTGGCAGAGCCACATCTTCTGACTTTCGGTCCAGGGCTAGGCCCATTCATTCTGCCCTGTCAGGGACTATGCAGCTGTTCCACATAAATATATTTTCCAGATACCGAACCTTACTTGCTTCCTTATGACTACACAGCTTTATTATTTTAAAAATTGACAAAACTCATTTTTTAATGGCTACCAAAGATTTTTTTCCTCAGTTAGAATATGCCTCACATAATCTAACCTTTTCTTAATAACTTGAGGTTATTATGAACTAAAAACAACATCTTACATCTTTATAGCACTTAGTAATTATCTAATTTGCTACTTACAACAACTAAGTCAGTCAGATAGGATAAGGGCTATTATCCCCATTTAACAGATGAAAAAATTAAGGTTCAGAGAGATTAAGTCATCTACCCAGGGTCACAAAATGGCAGAGGTGAGACTAGAAGTGGGGTCTTTTTGGTCTACATTTTTCCCCTGATGGTCTGACTTTCTGCTTTCCCACATTTGTTCCTATGGTGAGTTTTAGCTTAGCAGATTTTCCAACTTCTCTCTCTGAAGCTTGTCCTAATTTTCTAACTCATTTAGGAAACACATCTCTGTGTATAGGCCTGGAAAATTCTCCACATTTCCTCCAGAGTTTCATAAGTGAGCCCCCAACACCTAGAACTCAAGTTACTGTGATTTGCTGCTTAGAAGGCTTTTCTTATTCCATTACACTTCTTCATAGAGTCTCTCACGGAAGAGCCTATGTGCCAGACACTGGGCTAGTCACAGAGGATATGACAGCAAACAGACATGACACTTGTCCTGAAGGGAAAGGCTGGCAAAAGCAGACTCTGGTTAAAAGGAAGATACTATATTAGTTCTACCTGCCTACAAGTGAAGGGAAGAGAATATCACATTATAGTGAATAACTATCGAATAGTAACTGAGTAAATTAGGTTTTGTTACATTCATGTTAGAGGTGGCGCATTAAGCTATGAAGGTTCCACAGAATTAGTGGTAGACTGAGAAATAAATCAAATGAAAACCACACTGATGCATAACTTTCAAATCAGTAGAGCAAACAAAATGAAACAAGAAAAACTTGATCAACAACAAAGGGAAAAAAACCCCGCGGCAAATGGAAACCATAAAGTAAAGTACAAAGAAGTTCAAATGTGTCACTAATCTCAATAAATGTAAGCAGATTAAATATAGAGATCTCCAACAGTTAAAAACACCAACAGTATGGGCCGGCCCAGTGGCGCAAGTGGTGAAGTGGGCGCATTCTGCTGCGGCGGCCTGGGGTTCACAGGTTTGGATCCCGGGCACGCACTGACGCACCACTTGTCAAGCCATGCTGTGGTGGCCTCCCGTATATAGTGGAGGAAGATGGGCATGGATGTTAGCCCAGGGCCAGTCTTCCTCAGCAAAAAGAGGAGGATTGCCAGATGTTAGCTCAGGGCCGATCTTCCTCACAAAAAAAAAAAAAAAACCACACCAATAGTAAAGTACTTACAAGACATACTCTTAAAAAAGAACAGCAAAGAAAGATTGAACATAGAGGGACGGAAAATGTTATTCTAGGTAAATAACAAACAAGTTAGGTAGATGAGACAATATTAATATCAGGTAAAACAGAATTTAAAGTGAATGACATTAAAAAAGACAAAGAGATATTTAATAATAACATATAAAATCCATCAAAGAGATTTAAGTTAGTAACTCTTAGGCCTCTAACAGCACAACTCCAAAATATACAAAATAAAAATGAACAGAAATACAGTGAGAAATTAAGACAGTCTCAAGCATCACAAGAGATTTTAACACACCTTTATATCAGTCATCTACAGACCAAGTAAATAAAACCAGAAAACTATAGAAGAAAAAGAAATAAAAGGAATAAAAATTGGACAGGAGAAAATAAACCAATGGTTATTCATAGATGATATGATTATATACATAGCGAAACACAAATAAGCTACAGATAAATTATTAGAAACAAATTAGCTTAGCAAGTTGCTGGGTACAAGATCAATACATAAAATCAACTGTCTATACATAATCAGCAATATACATTAGAAATTAAATTTTTAAAAAGACATCATTTATAAGAGCACTGAAAATAGAATACCAAGGAATAAATCTAATGGAAGATGAACAAAATCCTACACACACACACACACACACACACACACAAACTATAAATGACTGAGAGTAAAGACAATCTAAATAAATGGAGGAGGTTTTTGTGTTTTTCTGTTTGTGGAATGGGAAATTCAACATTGTAAAGATATCAATTTCTCATCAAAATTCCAATAGCTTGTTTTTTGTTGTTGCTGTTGTTCTGGGGGGGTGGGAGGCTGATGGAAATTGACAAATTCTGATTCTAAAACTTCTGTGGAAATACCAAGAGCCAAGATTAGCTAAGACGTTCTAGAAGATGAACAGGTGGCAAAAGCTGTTCTACTGGATATCAAGACTTAGAATAATTAAGATAGTGTACACTAGCAAAAGAACCAACAATTAGATCAATGAAAAAGAACAGACGGCCCAGAAATTGTCCCACACATATGTGGACACTTAATTTACAGCACAAGTGCCACTGTATGCCCCTTTGGGGAAAGAATAATCTTTTCAACAAATAACGCTAGCTCAATTGGATATCTATCTGGAAGAAAATGCAACTTTTCTAGGAAATAACATAGGAAAATGTCTTCTTAACTTTGGCATAGGGAAAAGCTTCTTAAACAGGATACAAAAACTATACAGAAAAGACTGCTACATTGGACTACAGTGAAATTAAGAATGCTGTTCATCAAAAGACACCACTGCAACATTTAAAAGCAAGCCACATCTTATTTCTAAGAAGATATTTACAACACAGATAACTGAGAAAGGGTTCATATGCAGAATAAGCCTATAAAGAACTCCTACAAATCAATAAAAGAGAAAGGAAGGAAGGAAGAGAAAAAGAAAAAGTGAAAGAGAGACAGAGAGAGAAAGAGAGGGAGGAGGAGCGGGCAAGAGACTTAACCTAGCACTTCACAAAAGAAGATATGTAAATGGCCCATAAATATAGGAAAGAGTACTCACATCATTACTCATTCATAAAATGTAAATTAAAATCACAGTGATAGTCTTACACATCAACCAAGCAGCTAAAATGTAAAAAACTAATAACAATAAGTGCTGGCAAGGGTGTGTAGCAACTGTTCTCATACACTGTTGGTTGGAATATAAAACTACTTTGAAAAAAAATTTTTATCTATTACAGTTGCACAAACACATACCCTATGACCTAACAGTTAGACTCCTGGGAATATACCCAACAGAAACACATGCACACAGGTACCAAGAGACATATATAAGAATAATCACAGTAGTATTCTTTATAATTGCCCCAAAATGGAAACAACCCTATGATTAAAACAACAAAATAGATAAATAAATTGTGATATATTCACACAATGGAATACAGCAATGAACGCACACAAAAATCACAGCTACACAAACAGAACAGATGAATCACACAAAGTGTTAAGTGAAAGAAGCCAATCCCAAGAAAATACCCAGTGTGTAATTCTATTTTTATAAAGTTCCAAATCAGGCAAAACCAAGGCATTAAAAATAAGAGTAATAGTTAATTTGGGGGAGGAGGCAGGGCATAAACACTGGGAGAGAAGGGTACAGTGGGAGTTCTTAGTGCCCGTAATGTTTCTATCTCTTGACTTGGGTAGTGGTTATATAGATGTTTGTTTTCTGATAATTCAGTGAGCTGTAAATTTATATTGTGTGTACTTTTCTATCAGTACATTCCACTTCAGTTAAAAAAGGAAAACTAGTTTACTGGATTTGTCCACACTCTGATATGAATGGCATATTTAAATATTCAATATTGAAATATTAAAACTATTTTAAAACACTATCAACGTATATCTCTATGAGTTTAACTAAGAAAAAGAAAAAAGAAGAGGAAAAGAAAATCTCTTAGCAAAACAGGAACAGAAGAAATTTTCCTTAACTTCATATGCGGATCTGCCAAAAAATCAACAGTAAACATCATATATAAAGAAGCATTCCCGTTAAATCTGTGGGGAAAATGTCCACCATTCTGGCTATTATTCAATATTACTCTGAATTAAAACCCATTCAATAAAGCAGAAAGAGAAAAAAGAAAAGGTATAAAAATTGCAGACAGGCAAAACTTTACTTATTTGTAGGTGATCTCATCTATCTGGAAAAATAAAAAAGAATTAACTAACAAAATTTCTTATTTCATCAAATCTAAAACATCAAGTATAAGCCATATCATTATTTTATAAACCAACAGGAAAATTTTAAATAGTGCCAATTAATTTAAGAATCAATTCAATTTGAGAATGCACCCCAATTTCAGAAATGTTAAATATATACCTTAGAACCAATGAAATATAGTATCATAACAAAGTAAAGATTTCAGCAAGGTACCAGATATAAGAGCAATGTACAAATGCAACAGCTCTCCTATGAGGAGCAATAACCAATTTCAAAATGTTAATAAAAAAGATCCCATTCACAATAGCAATAAAAACTATAAAATATAAAAACTGGAAATAAACATAACAAAGGCATTTAGGAATTCCTATGTATTCCTCTGTCAGGAATTCTTATATGCATAAAATTATAAAATTCAACTGAAGGGATAGAAAAAGGGCATGAATAAATCGAAGGGATGATTTCATATTGTAAAGATGCCATTTCTCCCCTAATTAATCTATGAACTCAATGTAATACCAATCAAAATCCCAACAGCGTCTTTCACAGAACTTGAAAAACCCATTCTAAATTCCTCTAAAGATAAGCAATCACCATCAGCAATATTTTGAAAAAGAAGAACAAAGAGGGAAGAATGGCTTCATGAAATATTAAAATATGTAAGAAAGAATGATGATTTTGCCTACAAAATTAAAATTTTCTATACCAGAAAAGATATCATAAACAAATTACAAAAATGACTAAGAAAATATCTGCAATACATGTAAACCAAAAAAGGATTAAGATCCAGAATAATATAAACAATGTCTATCTATCCATAAGCTAAAGACATAGAACCCAGCAGGGAGATGGCAAAGGACAGGAACAGACCAATCACAGAAGAGGAAACAAACATGGCTAAGGAATATGTGAAAAGAAACAATAATCTTCCTCACTAGGAATCAGGGAAATGCAACATAAAACAATGAGATACAATTTTCCACCCAGAGACTAGGAAATTTTTCAAATTTCATTACACAAAGTACTTGGCAAGGACATGGGGAAATACATACTGATGGTCACTGCTAGTCAAAACATAATTGGATGCCCACTTTCAAAGGCAAGTTGGCAGTATCTGTTTAAATGTGCATACCACATAAGCTAGCAATTCTACTTCCTGGAAAGACAAAAATTTATTTATTGCCTGTGTAAAAAAAATACATTTATATCAAATGTGTGTACATGTATATATCTATCATTAAAATATAAATAAACAAACTCAAAAAAAAAAGTAGGGTACTAACTTCCAGCTCTGTAGGAATTGACTCTGGGTAGCTCAAATGTTATGATGTAGGAAAAGGGAATTTTACTTTCTCCACCCTCCCCTATGAAAGAGCACTCCAGCCTCCAGCCTAAGGAAGCACCATGGCTGCAATTCACTTATCCTAATTCAAGTGCACCTACCGTGGAGCAGGTTTTAAATCCTCACTTTCCCCTCAGTGCAGCAACTGTTATAGTCCAGACAATTTCAAAGAATAAAATATCTTACAATAAACACCTTAAGAAACATACCAGCAAGAAGCTTCTTTGCCATTGAAGCTTGTTTTGTTTCCTGTGGAATTATCTCCTTTGCAACGAAGGGTCTCCTCTCGCTCTTTGGTGACGTACTTTGCCATCTCTCCAAGGCCCTTTGGCTACCAACAGGAAATCTGCTCCGAATGTCAGTGAAACATTTCTTCACCTTTTTTGGTGACAGTTTCTTTTCCAGGAGGGATTCCAAAGCCTGCCACAAAACAGTCAATTATTCTCTTTGTTTATCTCACAAAAGTCTGACTTTTAATCACAAAACTGAACATGAGGACTCCAGAGAAACGTGTTATTAAATGGCTATCTCTAATGGTTAACAAATTGTTGTTTAGCTTAATTTAAAAACTTTATTATTTAGGACATACAATTAATAAAAGAAATTCTGCATGTTCTTTTACGTGTTTAGCTCACTAAAACTGAAAGCAGAGATAAAGACTAGGACTACTTTTAAAGGCACCCAAATCCTAAAATTAAAGATCACCATTTCAGAAATTAACTAGTCTTCACAATATAATCCTATATGCTTTAAAAGTATTTTAATTCTCAATGAAAACCTCATAAACTCAAGAAGCATTTTAAGTGGGTAAACAGACTATATGTAACATTCATTTTCATAAACTAAAGGAAACTTAGCAGGTCTAGCGGCTTTGGTCACTCAATGGTAGGAGATATGTATTCCCCCTTCCTCAAAGAGGGATATCCTCTAACAAGTACCCATTCCTTCATTACTGGGCTGCAAGGGCTTAGTCTCTATCCGGTCAGTACAAATTAAGGACAACTGAACATAGCCAGGGAGATTTAGTTCAGATGACAGTAAGGCAATAAGAAAATAATAAGCTGTGGGATGGTGTAAGACAGCAACAAGAAAGAATAAATTTCTTGCACCATTGAATGTTTTCAAAAGTAGGAGAGAGAGACATTATGTTTGAGAAACATTATGTTAAGGTACTCTTGCTCAAAATTTGGGAAAGGGACTAGATAATCCCTTGAGATCATTTCTAGGATTATGAAGATATGTCCTCCAAATGGAATCATCTTGGCCAGTAAATGTTTCTAAGTTTAAAAACATCACAACTTCATATGCTGTCTAAAGGTCTGCATTTCACAGTAACACTCCTGATGGTGAGTTCTATATACACAAATGCAACCAATGCAAATCACAAACCTATTTGCTGAATAATGGAACTGTAAAGGTAGAAGGGGCCATATAAACCACCCAGGGCTAGTTAATGGTATAACTGCCATGTTAGTCCAGAATTCTCCCCACTACACCACCTTTCCTCCACAGCTAACAGCTTACTATGTCACACTAACATAAAGGCGGTCTTTTTATTTGCGGATGAAAATGTGTGGTGTAGTGGAAATAACACTGGCATAGGAGTCAGAAGATAGGAATTTGATTCTCAACTCGCAAGAGAAGTAATTGTGCAATCTCTCTGACCTTCGCTATTTTTTTTTGGTGGGGAGACTGGCCGTGAGCGAACATCCATTGCCAATCCTCCTCTTTTTGCTGAGGAAGATTAGCCCTGAGCTAACATCTGTGCCCATCTTCCTCTATTTTGTATGTGGGACACCGCCACAGTGTGGCCTGATGAGCGGTGCGTAGGTCCGCGCCTAGGATGCGAACCGCAGGCCGCTGAAGCAGAGCATGGAAACTTAACGAGTATGCCACCAGGCCAGCCCCACTTTCTATTTTATTCTGTAAAATAGTAGTAATAAAACCTATTGCAAACCACAGCACTGCAGTAAGGATGAAATGGAAAATTATGTGGTAGCACTCTACAAACTTCAGAGAACTATAAAGATTTAAGGGCATGTTGTTTTTGTTGTCTTTGTCACCAATGAGAACTAAGAACACTGTCCATTCCTGAGTAGCACATGCCAGTTGTGACTTCCAGAAGTCTCTAGCCACATCACAAGACTTGAGGCTCTGTTTCCATGTCTTTAAGACTTGCTTATTTTCAAAAATCTATCCAGTTTACACAAATATTCTAATCTAAGCACTAATCTAAGAGTGCTTTACTGTTTTCCTTTTCTTTGCTAATAAATTCTTTATTAAATGGCATGGTCAGGGAATGGAACATTCTGTTTAATTAATGGACCTGGTTAAGAGTTGTTATACATTCTAGACTCAAATTACCAATTCTCAAAGAAGTGAAATACAATATTATAGATTAGACTGTAAAAACAATAAAATAAAACTGAAGTGCTGCGTCTGCCCTCTGCAAAGCTTTAACATACTAGGTAGCAGCTTTGTCTTGTATTCTCCATTAATCCCAATGAAACTAGGCAACGGTAAACATTACTTCCCTGCTTAGAAACAATGCACTTTTAACAAAAATTGGAGTGAATTCCGTACCTCAATTTGTCGTAGGATATCTATAACCACATCAGGGACAGAAGAATCGGCATCCAGCTTGGCAGAACAGAGGGAAAGCTGGCGAATAAGACTGCCCAGTTCCCTACACCGGGCAGGAACTGGGTGTTCCCCTCGGTCAGTAAACTGAGTAACAAACATCTGTAAGGCCCGAATGGCTCCTCGATGGGCAGCTGCCAGCCTGGACATTGCCCATGACTGGCAATAAATGAGAAGTGAGAAGGTATCTTAATATTTAGAACTTCTTAACAGTAACCCAACCCTTAAGAACGTTTACAGTCTATCTTCTTTCTATATAAGAAGTACTTCTATTGTGAAAACTTTTTCAAAATAAAGGGAATTACAAAGTTTAAAGGTTTTCTAATGACATTCTTTTGCTTCTCATGGTCATTTTCTTATACCAGCAGCAACAACAACAAAAATCTATTTTCAGAACCTGTTCCTCGGACAGCAACCCCAAATTCAGAATATTTAAGGTGCTCACTCCCTAACAGGTTTCCACAAGCACTGAAAATAATATTAGTGCAGAGAACTCACATGACACATGACACTAACAAAACAGAGGAAATATAACTTATAAATAATAAGTATTAATCACAATTGAACTGCATCATACCTTCTTAGTGTGTTTAATTTTATGTGGACTCAATTTATCCAATTCTTCCTGGATTTCTTTAACCTGTTTTGTAAAGGGGGAAAAATGAAAACTTTGTACCTTTCCACTGATCTTTTTTGTAGAAAAGGATACATCTTGTCTTGTCCAAATATAACCATTATTAATTCAAGTCACTTGAAAATGAGACAAGGCTCTTCATTCATGCACCCAAAAAATAGATATTGGTTTCCAGTTCAAGGTGGTGAACAGAGCACAGTGCTCACCTTCCATCCCTTGGTCCCCAGTGTAATAGGAATTTAACATGAAGGAGCGAAGGTAGAGGTGACTCTGGAAAGGGAGGAGGGCCAGATCATGAAGTCTTTTATCCTCCTAAGTTACAAAGAGCCATTAAAGTCTTTTAAGCAGAGGTCTGACAGAGTAAGATTTGTGTTTTAGAACAATTTTTATGGCAGCAGTGTAGAACAAGGACCAAAACAGAACCCTCCAAAAATATAGAACAAAATCAAACTCAGGCATTATCTTTTAAATGAAAAAGTCCAGTTTTTGGTTCAAGCAATAAGTGACCAGAAATGAATTAAAGGCATAATGAGTAAGGCGTTAAAGTTACAACAATTTTAAAAATCTATCCACAGTGTAAAGAATGTAAATGCCTGTTTATCACCACTAAATGGGTCCTGAAAGATACTTAACATGGTCTTCATTCTTTGTTATTTAATAAAAACAATCAAATTATTTACTATCTACTAAGCTTCTAGTACCTTATAAACACGAGACAGATGAGAAACTAGTAAGGTCCCTCTCCTCTAAGACTCGGGTGCGTAACTGGGGACCAAGGGTGTCAGGGAAACTGATGCACCTGACTTCGTCTGCAAAGATATGTGTATAAGCATCTTTCCTGGGAAATGGACCCATGGCTTTTAGTAAATTCTCAAGAGTCTATGACCCCAAAAAGTCAAAAATCACTCTTTAAGGAGTCTGGCCATATACACATAATACATAAACACATATAAAGGCAGAGGACAAAAAGAGAAAGAATTATTTGTCCATGTGTACAGGAAATTGAGCCTCACAAACACATCAGAATTCACCTAGGATACTTTGAAGCTAATATTCCGGAGTCAAAAGGAAAACTGAAATTCTCTGAGAAGGCAATACACAAAGCTGAAGGTCCCGCTCCTCCCTGGGCTTTCCACACCTGCCGCTGGAGGACGTAGAGCGTTCGGGCAGAACGAACCGCTTGCTCCTGCCTCCTGACACGGATTCGTCGTTCTTCATCTGGATCTAAAGTTTCTTCCACTCGATCTGAAAATATTTTTTTCCCCAAAAGTGGATTATAAACCTTATATAAAAACTTATAAAAATTTCAGTTACTCAAAGAGATAGATAAGATTGAAGATCTGTAGCTTTAGTAAGAAAAAAAACATTAGCCTGTTGTAACAAAAAATTTCATTTTTCATCAGGCAAGAAACCAGGAATGAATGGACCTGTGTACGGACCTGACTCAGGGATGGAAGAGACATGAAGACATTAATTCCAAGCTCCACGCAGGAATTCCCTGAACCAAATCCCACTGGACAGCCTATTCCACTATTAGGCATCTTTTACTATTTTTAAATTCTTTATATTGAGCCAAAATCTGTAATGCTTTCTATTTTTTCAAAAACCTTTTATTAGCCTATTTTTGTTTAACAAGATTTCTTTTACTTTCCTATCTTGAATCCAAAAGAGAAATCCTTTCTCCAACATATTAAGATAGCAAGCACTAAAACTATTTGAATGTCCAAAGTCTTCATATGTTTCTAAGGAAGCATACCCTCGTACACACTGGTACTTCACATATTCAAAAGACTGGTTTAAAGAAATTGTTTCTGGAAGATTGCCTGAGGGATATGCAGTTTACCATTCCTTCCAGTCAGTGGTTTTCAAATACGTTTACACAAAACAAATTCTTATGCCAAATTCCAATATACAAGTCAGATAAAAACAGTATTTTATTAGTAAAACTGTACTTTTTAAACTCAGTTTTTTAACATTTACTCATTAAAAAGTGAAAACAGTAAGGCGGTTTTGAAGAAAGCAGGAATTTGAAATCAGGAGTTGTAGATCCAGATGCAGTCTCCTAGGAAACTATAAGCCAAAATGTTTCTCTCTCTCTTGTTGAGGCTGCACAGCATGGAAAAGCTCCCGATTCACATACTTTGCTGAACATAAACGGGAGCCGGCTCAGGTGGGGGTTCTAGCTGCTCACCTTGCAGAGGATTCTCGTGGAACCACTCTAGAAAGCAGCACATCAGAGCAGTCAGATATTTCACACACTGGGAAGTGCAGTGGGCACTTCAGGGCTACTGAGAGGGTAGGCTGCGGAGAGGAGCCATCGCAGCTATTACCAGTCCACGAGAAGGCAAGTGCAGAGATTGAAAGTATGCATTTACAGGTTGTTATAGCAATTTGCCATGGTCATGACATTTTTATTATGGTTTACAAAGTATGGATTTGTGACAGACTGAAAATTTTAACTGAAAAAAAAACCCTACTCAACCCAGTCCTTGCCCACAGAGAGTCTGAGGAGCTCTGCTCTATGGGTCCCCCTGCATTGGGCCACATGCCAGAGCAGTGGGGCTCAGGGCTTTGTTCCCCTGCAGCACGGCTTCTACCACAGTATGCCCGGGGTCATGCCACAGGCCAACACGGAGAGAGAAATGAGCCATAACACTCCTGTTATTTTCATGTAGGAACGGTTTTGAATTTCTCGTGATCTTACACAACACACTCTTCATGAAGACCCACTGGAGAAATTTCTTTCCAGCCTCAATATATGGAATAACTGTTTTTCCTGTTTTAGACTGTAAATTTTGCAACTGATCACATTTTCCTCTTTGGCTGGCTGAGCAGAAGCTCAGAAATAAATCTGTAACTCCTTTCTAACAAATCTTATTTTTCCTTATTTTTTCCTGTGCCAAAATATCCTCATTTACCTATTTTGGTTCTATCTTGTTAATCACAAGTATTTCTGTAAGGCACTTTACATCCCTTATGTAACATGCATATATGTACATATGCAGATATTAATTAATTGTCCAATGCAAAAGATCATTATAGACTATGGACTATCCTAGCATAGTAGCTCCTTTTTTTTTTTTGTGAGGAAGATCGGCCCTGAGCCAACATCTGCCAATCCTCTCTTTTTGCTGAGGAAGACTGGCCCGGGGCTAACATCCATGCCCATCTTCCCCTACTTTATATGTGACGCCGCTACAGCATGGCTTGACAAGCAGTGCATCGGTGCATGCCTGGGTGCGCGTCTGGGATCCCAACTGGTGAACCCCGGGCTGCCACAGCGGAGCATGCGCACCCAACCACTTGTGCCACCGGGCCGGCCCCCACAGTAGTTCCTTTTGATGCTCACTCTCTATTGTTTGCAGTCTGAACGCTGGGCTCAATTCTCCTACTTGTTAGCTATGGTAACCCCAAATTCTCCGCATGGAATCAACCTTCTACTCCTCAGGGAAGCGCAGGGGCAGAGAGAACACTGAAGAATTGTAGAGCACAGTATATGACGATTATACACCTTCCTTTCTACGCCATGGTCAGATATATTACACATATACCAACAGCTTCCCTTGTCACTGCTGTGTACTCATCTAAACACTGCCTGAGTTAGAACTGGTTTTATCTACAATATACATATAAGATGCACCTTTTTGAACAAATTAAAAATAATTTTGCCAGAAGGATTTCTGGATATAGAAGCAAAACATTACAGGATAATGTGCATCCAAGTGCCAGAAGACCTAAGGCTCAGATAGCAGGTACGCCAACTCCTAGGCTGGGCCTCAGTCAGTCGACTTACCAAGCGCAGCCTACAGGAAAGGAGCTATTTCATGTGCCTCTGCTGGAAAGAGGAGCTAGAGTAGGGCAAACTCTTCAGAAGAAAAGACACTGGTCAAATTCAAAGTCCACTTGTCTTGTGGACAAGTGTCATGAGTGCTTACTCTAGTGACAGAAGGAGGGAATGGAATGTGATGGGGGGTGGGGGTCTTGGAGGAATGTATTTGAATTATCTCACTCTTGTGATACCTCTTCAAAGTGAAGAATCCAATTTTTCTCACCTTTTTTAGTAACTTCTTCAATTTTATGGATACAACTGCTCAGTTCTTTCCGGAGTCGCTGAACTTCTAGCAGGCTTTTGTGTTCACACAGGCTATTGTGGTCACTTATCCCGGCATGCGGCTGAAGTCCTAGATCACGGGTGGGTGGTGAATTTGGCGTGGTCAGATCTGACTGTCCTGGATGAGATGTGTACAGGTATACCTTGGCACCTGAGCTGGAAATTTCTACTTTGGATGGCTGGTGGCTGCAACGACAGACTTCTTGACTCTTTGATTCCTTCCTTTCCACCCTATGGTCAGATATCTTATGCTTAATGTGTCCACATTTCTGAGAGATTTGAGGCTGACTTCTGAGATGATGTTCTTTTACATGTTCTTCAAACTGTCTTCGTTTCACATCTCTTTTGGCTAGGTGGACAGCATAGCTAAGTCTCTCTTCTGATATGACAGAAAATGAAACAGAATTGCTTAGGTCAGGACCGTCTCTAAAATCCAAATCTTTACAATGGTATGACTCATTGTACGCGTGCTTCAGTTTTTCAATTCTAATTGCATGTGGGCAAGAATATCGGATTGCCAAGTTGCTTGAATGTGTAGGAACATTCCTATTAAACTGCAGCTGGTTCTTTAAAAAATAAATAAAAGTAAGCACACATTAGAAAAATAACATATTGCATAGTTGGTATATGTCTGTGATAGAGTTTCTAAAATTTCCCCCACACAATTATTAGTGCTTAGAGGGGTTTTCTTGTGGTACTGATAGAATCAGCCACTCTCATACACCCTTGAATTCATCAATTCCCCTGGTTCTATCTTACAACCACCCAGTCCCACAGTATTATCCTTCTGTTTACTAATATAATAGCATACAGGGATCCTCCTCTAAAAGTCAACCTAGAAAGCTTGGAGTAGAATCAGTAAGTTCCTCCACTCCCCAGTTACGGACTCTGTCCTGTTTCAAAATGTCAGGTTTCAGCAAGTGACCAATACAATTCATTATGAGCGTTCCTAAAAATTGCTCCACAGACACACCACACAAGACCTAAGCCACTGACGACACTTCCTCAGGTCTTCCTGGGCTTTTTCATCTGGTGGTTGGACCACATCTTTTATCCTGCACCTAAGTGCACCTTGCTCAAACAGTCCACTTACACCTTCTTCTGCAAGCTTAAGTTTTTGTCAGTTATAATCATAACAGATACAAGTTTTGTTTTGTTCTTCACTTAAACATAGGCATGTTTCCATATTCCAACAGTTTTCATTATTTTTCATGATTACATTTTCCAGAAGCCAGTGAATGGCCTTTTCATGCTTAACCTAACTAGAACCTTATTATTATTAAACATTTAGATTGTTCCAGTTTTTCCACTATAGAAATATTATTTCAATTAATATATCCACGTATTTAGTTTTTCCTCCTTTTAAATTATTTTCTTAGGATAAATGATCTGTTCTGGGGTTACTAGGTTAAAGGAAACAAATGATTCCAAGGCTTTGGAGCAGACAATGACAGATAGATAGCCTACGAACTCAATGCAGCCTATGCTGTGACATCTTTTTCTTGGAGACGGCCTCCCCACCTCTCAAAATAAAGGATGATTATGTGATCATGTGTACGAAGAGTCAGTTTAAAATAACCCATTGTGATAAAACGTAAGGAAAGTATTTTGGGGGAAAATAAAGGTAGTTAAAAACCTCAGTAGAGGTTGCGAGAGAGAAAAAAAATGGTTACCATCTGAAGGGTACACAGATTAATGAACAGTACTTGAAACTTACAGCCTTATTTGGAGAAAATCTTTCCCTAAAAAGTGAAAATAACCTAAAATACCTGGGGAATTTGATATAAGTACCAGAAAAAAATATGAGTGAATTCCTCTTTAACCTGGGTGTAGAGAAAGGCTTTCTAACTATGACTCAAAATCCATATGCAATAAAAGAAAAAAGTGACAAACTTTATTACATTAAAATAAAAATTTTAAAAACAACTTCTACCTGTTTTTTATGGTTAAAAAACACCATAAACAAAGTCAAGGAAGAACTGAAAAACTGAAAGAAAAATATTTATAAATACAAACAGCTCCCTATACATAAAGAAATCTTAAAAACTGAGGTGAAAAAAAATCAAAACAATATAAAATGGGAAAAACACGGAAACAGACAATTTACAAAAAAAAAGATATACACATGGCCCTTAAACATATGAAAAGCTGGTCAATCTCATAAAAAGACAAATTAAAAACATACTAAAATAGCAATAGATTAGCAAACATTAAAGGTATAACAACACATTCTGTTGGTGAGGCTGAGGGAAAACAGGCACTCTCACAGGGTGCTGGTGGGAACGCATATGTGACAACCATCAAGGAGGGGAATCTGGTAATAGCTATCAAAACTACATACGTGTTTCCCTTTTGAACTAGCAGTCTCACTTCTAGGAATTTATCCTGAAGATACACCCCAAAAAATACAGATGTACAGGGTTACTCATTGCTGTATTGTTTGTAATTGCAAAGTACTGGAATTGACCTAAATGCCCGTGTAGGAGAGTGGCTGAATCAACTATGCTATATCCACACAAAAGAGTACTATGAAGATGTAAAAAAGAATGAGGAAGATCTCCTTGAGCTCGTGGAGGGACTTCTCAGATATATTGTTCAGTGAAAAGAGGAAAGTGCAAAAAGAGTATCCGTAATATATTACCCTTCAGAAAACGAGAGAAATATTTCATGAGAAAAGACACATGCATCTGATCATTTGTGCGAAAAAAAAACACAGCAAAGAGAAATCAGAAACTAATGAGATTAAGTACCTACAGGATGTGGGTAGGAATTGGGTGGAAAGGATAGAGGGAATGGGAGAGAGGGTAACACCTCTCTGAATATACCTTTTTGTGCAGGTATATTAACCTTAACCATGTTAAGGTTTCACATGGAAGGGAGAGAGAGAGGAAGGGAATAAATAAAATTCATAAGGATGAAGGAAATCCCTAAAAATGAATACTAACAGAAACTAACAAACCAAACTAAATTTCAGATGAGTAACACAATCGCACTAAAAAGTGAGGATTAAAAAAAATTAACCCAATTAACTTTTGAACATAGCATTTGGACTCTATGACCTCAGGCTAAAGACAAAAAGTACTCTAAACAAACACTGAACTCTAATCCGTAGGGTTCTTTTTTTGCAGAGACATGGATTGCGACTCTGAAGCAGTTTCATACGTTCTAGGATTCAGCAAATAAGTAAACATATTGTGGATAACTGAAGGCAGGTTTCACTTCGTTGAATAGGGGAGTTACAAATATGGTTAGTGTTGGATTGGAACTGGAGATACCTCACAGGTTTTAATATAGACAGGCAGGCAGATAGAAAAACAGATATACAGAAAGGGAGGAAAGAAGGGAGATAAAGGGGGGGAGAGGGGAGGAGGAAGGGATACAGATGTGAGTGTAGATCTGCATATGGATGTGTGTACAGGCACACAAGTATATACATCTGTTTCCCAGTTATATCCTCTGAGAGGGCCTAGAAACAATGACATCTGAGAATTAATGAGTGTATCTAGTATCCAGATACTGATTCCTAAATTCCATTCTCCACTAAAGGCATGAAGGCTCCTTGGATAAATGGTTGATTCCAGCACTGGGACAGAATAAAAATATGCTGAGCCTAGAATACCTTTTTATACCAAAAACTGGTCAAAGATTGATGGACACATGTGAAAGGGACACAGGAGTCAGCCTGAAGTAGCTCTCACCAGCCAAATCAGAGACTACGTGACTATCCTATTGAATAAAGACTGTGAGTCTGCTCTGATATAAATAAGTCAGTCACCATTTGTCAACCATCATAATAAAAAATTGATTCAGGCAAAAATCATCAATGAATGCTAAACTAGTAGATGAAAATTTGGGGAGTAAAAGGATATTAGCATAGTCTCAAAGACAGATACTTTCAATTACAAAAGGTAAAAGAGTAACTTGACAATGGAACACTTGGCAGACACCACCTTAATCAAAGGATTCAAGTTAACACTGCCAGTAATGGGACGCAATCACAGCACGCACCTCCTGATACGATGCACTGAAAAGAACCCAGCATCACTTCAGTGCTTTTTCCATCACAAGTGCATAACTGAATGTAATTATGAGAAAATTTCAGACAAACCCAAACTGAGAGAAAATCCTCAAATAACTGGCTTTTATTTTTCAAAAATGTCAATGTCATGAAATACAAAGACAGACCCAGAAATGGCTCAAATCAGAGGAAACTAAAGAAACATGACGACTAATGCAACTCACGATCTTGGATTTTCTTTTGCTATAAAGAACACTATCTGGACAACTAACAAAATCTTAGTAAGGTCTGTAGATTACATGATAACATGATTTTAATGGTAATTTCCTGATATTGATCTCTGTACTGTGATTATATAAGAGAAGTCCTTGTTTTTAGGAAATACACATATAAGTACACAGGGGTAAAAAGACATCATGTCTGCAACGCACTCTTAATCAGTTCAGAAGATACTGTGTGTGTACGCGCGCAACCGCGCCTGGAGAGACACAGAGAAAAAAAGGGAGGGAGTGAAAACCCGTAATAAAATGTTAACATTTAGGGAATCTGGGAGAAGAGTATCCAGGAGTTCCGTGTACTACTCTTGCAACTTTTCTGTCAGTCTGAAAGTAGGTCAAAATTTTTAAAAAATTTTCTTTGTAAACCACAATGAGACACTACTACACACCCACAAGAATGGCTACGATTAAAAAGAACAACAACAAGTGTTGGCAAAGATGTGGAGCAAGCAGAGCTCTCATGCAGTGCTGGCAGGAATGTGAAATGGTACAACCACGCTGGAAAAAGGTCTGCCGCTTTATTGAAAAATTAAACATACACCTTACTCTATGACCCAGAGATTTCACTCCCAAGAGAAATAAAAACATGTTTACAAAAAGATTTGTACAAGAATGTTCACAGCAGTATCATTTATAATTACACAAGCAGAAACAGCCCAGGTGTCCATCAATTGCAGAAGGGATAGACAAACTGCGGTACACTCCTACTATGGAATACTACTCAGTATTAAAAACTAACAAACTACTGATACATGCAACAACATGAACGAATCTCAAAATTACACAGAATGAAAGAAGCCTTACATAAAAGAGTACACAATATACAATTCCATTTATTCGAAGTTCAAGAACAGGCAAAACTAACCTATGGTGGGAAAAAATCAGAATAGTAGTTGCCTCAAGAGGGGCAGGGGTGGGGACTGACTAGGAAGGAGCATAAGAGAACTTTCTGGGGTAATGGAAATGATCTGTATCTTGATAGAGGTATGGGTTACAAATGAGTATACATTTGTCAAAACTCAGCAAATGTGAAAAGAGGAATACGATTCAATGTATTCATTTCAGATGTAAAATTTACACCAAAAAAAGGTAAAGAATGAATTCTAGTGTATGATATGTGTGCTAAAGTAGTTAGGGTACTCGTGGCTGCAATTTACTTTGATATGTGTCAAAAAGTAAGATGGACTGACAAACGGATTCTAGAGGGATCAACTGAAGGATAGATATGCAATTAAATAAATATAGCGAAACAGTAAATGAAATCTAGGTGTTTACTGGAAAATTCAACTTTGCTGTATGTTTGAAGGTTTTCATAATATAATGTTGAGGGTAAAGACACTTTGGGGACAAGTGGGTAAAGTTGAACAAAGACTGGTTATTAGATAATATCAGGCAATTTTTTCTGTCCATTGTCTTAGTTGTGATAACAGTATTACGATTAAGTAGGAGTGTTTATTTTTAGGAGAAGTATTCTAAAATATTTAGAAGTGACGTGTCATGATGCCTGCAACTCACTTTAAAACGGTTCTGCAACAATTTTAGAGAGATGACAGAAAAACAAGACAAATTGTTACCAACTGTTGAATCTAAAAGATGTTTCAAAAGGTGTCCGCTGTCCTTTTCTTTCAACTTTTATGTCTGAAATGTTTCATAATAAAAATCTGAAGAAGAAAACAAAACTACCTGGGTCTGAAGTTTCCTGGGGTCACTCCTCTCATCTAGCTGGCCACTAGATGCTAGATGAACACAGGTTGAAGCTGGTCTGCCTGGTCCCATCATGTCAGATAGTGTAGAACAATATTGAAAGTCTAGTCCTCGGCCAACAGTTCTTCCCTAAAACCATTGCCTTAAAATAAAAGAAAGCGACTTTCAGACCAACAGTCTTCAAACAAAGGGAAAGAATAAGTAAAACACAATGCCATACTCATCTAATTACTCTATAAGTAGTCCACAGCAACCTCACACTAAACAGCAATTGTTCAAGGACAGATATATGATAGTTTCTGCCATTTACAAAAGGCAACTACACTTTTGAAATTCTACTTTCCAATAGGGGAACACACTATTTCAATGACAATCCCTTGAGACTTTTTCATTCCAAATTTCAAATCTCAAGGGTCTCCAATAGGACATTATTCCAAAAACAGAGTCCCGCTGTAGTAAACAAGCACTTTCCAGCAGGGCGTTTTTATGGACATACAGTCTACATGAATAAAGCCTAACCACTTGTCAAAAAGCAGTTATGCTTTATTCTACTAGGGAGCTCAAAGGGACTGACTCTGAATGCTTCTACAGGATCAGAATACCTACATTTATGCCAGGATCTGCGATTAACTAGCTGAGTGACCGCTCTAAATCTTCAACTTCCCCCCATCTTCCCTCCACCCTAAACACACAGCGAGAAAAAAGATATGAAAGCGTTTTGTAAGCTGCTATGGGCTATACTCCTGTCACGGCCTCTCCCTATCCTGAATGCGTCCTTACAGACACTTTATTACCCCTGCACTCATCTTGTGCTGATCAACACGCTTGGCTCATGTTGTTATTTACCTATTTCACAGGTATATGTCTCATCTTCCCAGCTAGACAAGATTCCTTGAGGGTAAGGGCCTTGTCTTGCTCTTCTCTGCTATTTCCCACAACACAGTGCTTTGCGCATAGTAGACAATTTAACTCAACGTTTGTTGAATTAAGCTGATTTTCCATAAACTGACTAGTTTTAAACATACTGGGCAATTTGTTCTCAAAAAATTCCATAGTAAATCATTTGGGAAATTGAGGTTTAAAAAAATCCCTAATTTAAGCTTTTGAATAAACCCAAAGTTTGTTGACTGGATTTGCTTAAAAACAGACACATCTGTAGGAACATAAGGGCAGCTGTCCAAGATTCCTTATTTCTAAGGCTGTAGAGACACGATCAAAAATGAAGATGGGAGGAGGCACATGAGCGAGGCAATCCCATCCGGCTTGACACCACCACAGTTCAGGGGCTGGAGTGCAGACGGAACGGGCCTGCAGAATTGGGGCCAGGGCATCTGCAACATTAATGTGGTCAGCACTTTGCCCCTGGATGCCAAAGGCCTAATAATCCATTCTCCACTAGGAAAAAAACTAAGGGATCCCCACAGTTCCAGGATATCTCGAGTGATGCTACACACACGTACAAACACACATACACATACGAAGTCCAGAGACACCCACCCCCAAACTGTTCCCCCATACAAAGTCCTGGGACATCCCTCTCCTTGCAATCTGTCCCTTTCCCATTGCTCCAGGAAACCCCCCAATTTGTTACCCCACATACTGTGGGACATCTCCACAAAGTATCTCTCTCCCCCATCCTGAAACACCCCTATGGCCTGTGCCTTCATCCACAACCCAGGACAAATCTCCCCCCAATCTGTTCCCTCCCAAAGAGCCCCAGGACCCCCCGACTTGTTCCCTACACATACTACTGGAACATTCCCCTCAATCTGTCCTCCCCCACGTAATTTTCTCCCAAATTGCTCCCCCTGGCTCCGACTCCAGATGCTCCTTCGCTCTGTCTCCTCCCACTCTGCTGTGAGCGATCTCTGAAATGGCCAATGCCGGTTTCCTCCCTCGAAACTGGGGGCACTTCCACAGCTTCATTCACCCCCCTAGTCGTTCTTGCCCCTGACACTTCTGGCACATTCTCATAGTCTGTTTCGTCTCCCACAGACCTTGGGCAGCTCCACAACCTCGTCCCCTGCCCAGAGGTATAAGACACGCCCACTGCCTTGCTCCTCCCCAGGGTACTTCTACCTCCTGTCTCCTCCACTGAAGCCCCAGGTCCCTCTGTGGACTGACTCCTCACTGCTGTGAGGCCTGAGACAGCCGCATTCATTTCTTCTCCTGCAGACCCAGTCACCCACACTGCAGCAGGCACACGCCCTGCCATGGGAACTCCTACGGCTGCAAGCACCCCCAAAGCCAGAGGTACCCTTACAGCCTCAGGGACTGTTCCATTGGGTCTCCCTCTCTGCAGGCCTGAGACACCTTCAGAGCCAATCTCCCCATCCACAGGTCCTGGAGCCCGGGCAGCAGCGGACAGCTCAGGAGCTGGTCTCCTTCCCCATACACCTGAGACATCCCCAGAACTAGCATTGCCCACCATGGGCCCAGGGACCCCAGCAGCTGCGGGCACTCCCACAGCCATGGAAACACTAGCAGCCACGGGCATCTCAGCAATCTGTTTTCTTCTCGATAAGCCTGAGAGACCCCCAGAGAGTATCTCCTCTCCCCTTGACCCAGGCACCCCCATGGCTGTGCACAGCCCCACAGCCATGGATACCCCTGTAGTCTGTCTCCCTGAAGACAAGCCTGAGACACTCCCAAGGCCCATCTTTTCCCCCAGGGGCCCAGGCATCCTGGCCATGGTGGGCATCCCCATCCTTGTGGAACTCTTGGCATCTGCTGGTCCTCGCACTGTCTCTCTCTCTCCCCACAAACCTGAGACACCTCTAGAACCAGTCTCCTCCCGTACAGGCCTAGACCCCCCGAGAGCCACCGGCTCCCTGCCAGCTGTGGACACCCCCGCAGTCACAGGTAGTCCTGCAGTCTGTCTCCTTCCTGGCAAGTGTGAGAACGCCCCAGAGCCAGTCTCCACCCCCAGAGGACCAGGCACGCTAGGAGCTGTGGGCACCTCAGCAGCCATAGGAACCCCGGCACTCTGTCTCCTTCCCCAAGATCTTAGGACACCCCCAGAGCCAGTCTCCTCCCCCACAGGCTCAGGTACCTCAGGAGCCACGGAAACCCTGTCAGTCACGGGAACTCCGATAGCCTGTCTCCTTCCCCATGATCCTGGGAAAGCCACAGAACCAGTCTCCTCTCCCACAGACCACAGCTCCTCAGGAGCCAGGGGCACTCCTGGAGCCGCGGGTTCTCCAACAGTACGAATCCTCTCCCACAGGTTCGAGACATCTCTGGAGCTGCCTTCCTGACACACAGGGCCAGACACCCACACAGCAGCAGGTGCCCTGGCAGGCACTCTTCCAGACCTGGGCACACCCATAGCTGTGGGGACCCCTGCTGGGGCACACCTGTGCTTGGGCACACCTGCTGCCTCAGGCAGCCCCACTGTCTCAGACAACCCCACAGCCTGTCTTCTCCTGCACAGACATGAAACATCCCCACAGCCAGTCTCTTGATCCACAGACCCAGGTACTCCTAAAGCTGTAGGTACCAGAGCCCCTTGCTCCCCCATAGCCTGCCTCCTTTCCCACAGACTCAGGACATGCCCACAGTATGTCTCCTCCCCAGCAACCCCCGGCACTGCCTCAGCCAGAGCCTGCTGCCTATCCCAAAGGCCTGGGACACCACCCAGGCTGTTCTGTTCTCCCACGGCTCCCGGTACCACCACAGCCTGGGACACCCCCACAGGCTGGTCTCTTCTCCACAGATCCGGGACACTCCCACAGCCTGTCTCCTTCCCCAAAGCCCTAGGTACTCCCATAGCCTGTTCTATACTCCACAGGCCTGGGGCACCCCCAGGACCTGCCTCCTGATCATCAGAACCAGATACCTCTGCAGTCTGTGCAGCTTCCCATGGCCCTGGGTCACCTCCGGAACCTGTCTCTACCCACACAGCCTGTCCCCTTTCCCTGAATCCTGGGTCACCCCCACATCTAGTTTCATCTTCAATAGCACAAGGCAACCCTACAGGCTGTCTGGTGCCCCACAGGCCAGGGATACCCCCAGGGCCTATCTCCTCCATGGCTTGTCTCCCCCGCCACATGCCTGAGGCACCCACAGAGGTAGTTTCCTCCTCCACAGCATCTGGCACCCCCGCAACCTGTCCCCTTCCCCATAAGCCTGGGGTATCCCCACAGGCTGCCTCTTGAGTCAGAGCCCCAGGCACCTGCACGGACTGCCCTCTCTCCCACAGACCTACAGCACCCCCACAGCCTATTCCTCTCTCTTCAGCTCTGGGTACCTCCACAGCCTCAGGCCACTCCATGGCCCCAGGCACCCCCACAGTCAGTCCTTTTCCCCAAGGGCCTGGGGCAACCCCATAGCCTATCTCCTCCACAGCCCCAGGCACCCCCACAGCTTCTCTTCTCCCCAGCAGGTGCGGGGCAATCCCTGAACTTGTCTCCGGACTCCCAGCCACACCCACAAGAGGCACCCTCATAGCCTGTCCTTGCCCACACAAGCCTGAGGTCCTCTCACAGCCTGCCCCTATGCCTCCAGCTGTAGATACTCCCGCGGCCTGGGAGACTGCCCTAGCCTGTCCTTTCACCCACGGTCCTGTGAGACCACCACAGCTGGTCTCTACCCATGAAGGCCGGCCAGGAATACCCCTTTCAACTGGCCCCTCTCCTGCAGGCACAGGATGGAGCTCGACTCTGCTTCCCTCCGCACATCCCGAAGCTGCCCTCATAGCCTGCACCTTCAACCACAGTTCCAGAATACTCTCATGGCCCATAGATCCCGGACGACCTTTTCTCTCACAGCCCCGAGGACTCCTATAAACTGTCTCCTCCTCCTCCCCAGTGCCAGTCACCCACACAGATCCGGCAGGCCCCACCACCTGGGGTTCACCCAGAGCCCCGTTCACCCACACAGTCCCAGGGTCCCCTGCAGCCTCAATCGAGCCTGCAGTGCCAGATGTCCCCGAAGCCTCGTTCGCCCCAGCGGCCTCGGCTGTCTCTGCCGCCTGTCTTCTCCCCCATGGCCGCCGACAATCGTGAAGCCTTTCTGCACTCACACAGCTCGTCTCCCACACCGAGGACCTCGCCCGGTGCCTCGCTCCACGGCCTCGGGACGTCCCTGGAGCCCCTCTCTTCCCCCACGGCCGCCGAAGTCCGCGCCCCGACCTGCTGGGCCCCACGCAGCGACCCGGCCTCTCTGCCGCTAGCTCGCCCCCGCGCAGCCTGGGCACGGCCCCACCGCCAGTCGCCCTGCTCATAGCTCGAGGACAAGTCCCGCCTTCCCCAACGCGGCCCCAGGGCACCTTCTGTCTTAGCCCCTCGCTCCCAAGGCTGCTCCCCACACGCACTCACACACTCAGCTCCAGCCCTCGCAGCCTCACTCCCTCCCAGCCGCCCGCCCCCCAGTCCCCGGCCCCCCCACTAAAGCCTAGGCAGGAGAAAAGGTAATTAGGGGCGACGAGCGACAGGATCCGCCCCGGGTGAAGGTCTCCTCTCCCCCAGGTCCATGACTCCTAACGCAGCTGCCCAGAATCCCCCCAGCTCCGGCCCGAGCCCACCTGGCCTGGGGCGAGGCGCGGCTACCGGGAAGCGGGCAGCGGGGGCCGCAACTAGGCCTCGCTTCCGGCCGCTCGCCTAGTCGCCATAGCAACAAGCGCAGGGCGGCTTGGGAGCCGTTAAGGCTCCGGAGCTACCCAAGGGTCCACGGGCTGCATGGCAGCAGGTTTTGCAGCCACTGTACATGGGGCCGGGGCCGGGACCACAGTGGGGCACAAGCCTGGGTTTCGGAGCGGAGCCAGCACGGAAAGACCTGAGAAACGAAGACAGAAAGACGGTGCAGATGAGTTATGGCCGCCAGAGGCTCCCGTAGCACCTCAGAGCCTTGCTGGCTCCTCCAGGCACCGCCCAGCTCCCAGCCCACCCGGAAACAGCTTCGCCCCGCCCCACGTGGGCCCCCGCCCCGCGGCGGCGCAGCCTGAAGACACCTCCCGCGGTGCCCGGCGTGCTCTCCCGATGGCCCGCTACGAGGAGGTGCGAGTGTCCGGCTTTGAGGAGTTCAGCCGGGCTGTGGAGCAGCACAAGGGCAAGATCATTTTCGCCTACTTCACCGGCTCTAAGGACGCCGGAGGGAAAAGCTGGTGCCCCGACTGCGTGCAAGGTGAGGCGGGATTCGGGGGCTGCTGCCCAGAGGAAGTAGCAGGAAGGCCGAAGCTATGGCCAAAGAGCAGGGCTGAAAAGAGGCCGAAGGGGTCTTGTTCCCGGAGACCCGCGGGGCGATCTGAGCTGTCATCGTGCCTCCTTTTCCTTCCCTGTTCACTTTCCTCCTCCTGTTAAGTCCTTCCCTGCCCCGCTAGAGTACTCTTCTACCATTCGACCCAGTAATCTGGGAACCTAATCCTTTAACTTTCCACTTCCCCAGTATGATTAGTGTCTTACAGGAGACGTGAGTCGGTCTCCTTTCGGTAAGTCAGCCAATATTTAAGCCTTTCATTTTGGGCGCTGCGGCGTGGGGACAAATAAGGACTGGGACTTGGTCCTTACCCTTAAAGTGGCTCTCAAATCAGAAAGAACACCTGACTTTGGTTAACCTCCTCAGTTAACTGCAGGTTAAAGTCTGAGTACTTACCAAGGCGGAGGGGAGGGGCGGGGGATGCGGTTTATCAGTGACTGATTATAGAGCTGATGTGTAATAATTTTCTATCAACTTTTTTAAAAGCTGAACCAGTCGTACGAGAGGGGCTGAAGCATGTTAGTGAAGGATGTGTGTTCATCTACTGCCAAGTAGGAGAAAGACCTTAGTAAGTGGCAATGTATACCCTATTTACCAGACATGTTCTAGACTCGTGCAAACATAGGCGGGAAGGGCCTCGGGACTCAGGTTTTGCAATCTAACTTACAGTCGGATAAGTCAAGCAATTACAAGATATTAAATACAAATTAGGGGCTCGCCTGGTGGTGCAGTGGTTACTTGGCACTTTCTGCTTGCTTTGGCGGCCCAGGGTTCACCAGTTCAGATCCTGGGCATGGACCTACTCACCGCTCATCAAGCCATGCTGAGGCGGGTCCCATACAGAAGAGCTACAACCCTACAACTATGTAGGGTTGTAGAACTATGTTGAACAAGCTGAACTATGTTCAACTATGTAGAAGAGCTACAACCCTACAA